GAATAAGAGTAGCTGTTTCTCTTTACTTAAGATAATAGAATATGTTTAACCTCAGCCAACTGGCTTAGTGTTTTAAACTGAAGAAGAGGGAAACAGAGGCAATTTATAAAGACTGTGCGTGTTGTGCTTTGCAAAATCCCCAGCTTCTCTGATTTAGGACCGAAAGACTCTGTTTTGAATTTTGCTTCCAAATAACTTCCAAATGTATGTTCGTGTTTTGTTCTTTTTCTTGTTTAATAATCCTTGTCATCCTCTCAGCTCCTTGTGCCTCGCTCTCTCATTCTCCCTGTCACAACCCCTCCCCCCCCACCCCTGCTATCTTCCATTTCCCAATAAATTATAACTGTTTTGATGATTATTAATATTTTTTTTTACAGGGCAAGCCTTGCTCGTTCAGTTCTCGCTCTTAACACGCAGATTAAGTTGCAACATTCATTCCTATGAATCAGCAGATTCAAAAAGTAATTGGTTTCTTCTCTTTAACAAGCAGTTGAAATTGCATCCCGTGATGTGTTAACACAGGTGTTAATGCCCAACTATATGTCAACAATGTTAATTAACTTGTTGCTGAAAATCCTGCCCTGAATGATAACCAAAACCGTTGCAGCTTGTTGTCCTGTGCTTCTTAAACTCTGCCTCTTGGCAAAATGTCCTGGCTTTCTTTTTGTTAGCGATAAACATTATTTAGGGTTTACTGAGAACACTGTTAAGATTCACCACAGTACCCTAACCTGAAATATCACAAATACAATATTTTCTTTTGAGTTTTGTAATTATTGTGATGTTTAGAGGGCCATTTTAAATGCTAATTTCAAAGTTTCTTTCAAAGGGACTGCTTCCCCGAGGCCCATTGGAATGCACGATATTAACAGAAAAGCACTGTTCAAGGCCATCTGTTTCCAGTTAGTATTTGTTGATTGAGTGAAGCGGAATCATAACATATTCTGTGTTGGGCGCACCTTCATGATAAGTCAAGCACTGCATTCTCATGAAGTGTATTTTATGGACATTGCCACTACACAATCCATTTGGGTTAAGGTTCTTTTAACATAATCCTTATAATAATCCTTGCATTTGATATAGCGCCTTATCCCGACTTTGAGACATCTCAAAGTGCTTTGCAGAATATACTATGAAGTGGAGTGACTGTATATCGTGGGCGAAACTTGGCAGCCAATTGGACACAGCAGCGTCCCACAAACAGTCGTGGGTTGAATGAGCACATTTTTTGAGGGGAGTTATTACCCCAGAAAGTGATCCGCCAATCGACTAACAACCATGTTCCTGCTTCCGGCTAGGTAAACAGAGGCGTGTGGAATAAGGAAACTTGATAATATTTTGTCGGTCTGAAGGGTTTTGAGTTATTCAATAAAGAGAATGATAAGAGGAATCTTGTGGTGAATTAGCTGTGTAGGCCAAGTGAACTAACGGTCTATTCCAGCCTGAAGTTAATACCTTAATAATAATAATAATCCTTGCATTTGATATAGCGTTTTTCACGTCGGGAGGACGTCCCAAAGCGCTTCACAGAACACACTGTGAAGTGAATTGACTGTATATTTGTGGGCGAACGCGGCGGCCGATTGCGCACAGCAATGTCCCACAAACAGTCGTAGATTGAAAATGACCAATTTATTATTGTTTTGGGTTTTGGAGGGATTATTATTAGGTGTGTGGAGTAAGGAAACTTGCCCAAGGTTTGGCCCTCTGCCTGGAATTGAACTCAGGTCACTCACTTGCAAAGCGAGTGCTCTAACCACTGAGCTACAGGACTCCAACCTTACATTCAGGACCATGGATTTGTCCGTGGCTGAATGTGCTCAATGGACCAAATGTCCTTCTTTTGTTCCTAATTTCCTATTAAGGGTCAGAAGAGAAGTCATCCAGAACAGTTGTGCGCAAAATAAGCTTGTTAAACAAATGAGTTCAAAAGGCAACTGGAGAGATAAGGGATGCGGTGAAAAGGCAGGTAGCTGGCGTTCACCATTCAAATGGCAACAACATTGTTGAGTTTCATGGCCTCTCCCTGTTCTATCGGGCTGTTTTTTTTAGATCTCCTTGGATAACAGTTGAAGGAAATGATGGAATTGCTGACCTGACAATCAGTTTCTGAAGACAAATTGCTAGAAATCTGGAATGAATTGCTTCTCTGTATCAGTACATTTTCCCTTCACCTCAGGGACCTTGGTTTGAATTAAGCCCAGTCTAGCCTCTCTGCAGCTGGGTTAAGCAGCGTGAACATGAGTGGTGGGAGAGGGAGTGGGGGCGGGAGGGGGTGTCAGGGAATATCAGCCAGCGTTCCTAATGTAATGATTCTTCCAGACTCCTGCAGCAATGGAGTTGAGCTATATCCAAGCAGCAGTTTGTGGGGAAAACTTTGCTGCCAATTCCTGCACTTGATCCTCTGACAACCGAGGTCACCAGCATCAGCTCAAATCTTTCTGATCTCCAGAGGGAAAGTTTTCAGAAAATAAGTAATTTGAGTTTGGCAGGGAATGTGAGGGAACAAACACAAGTTTGTTCCCTTTAACATTTTCACTGGAGCTGCAAGTTTCCACTTGCAAAGTCAACGTTTGTGAATCCATGCACGTAGTCGCTGACCATTTTTGTCAAAAAAAATTAAATAATAATAATAATCACTGGATCTTATATTATGCTTTTCATGTCTGGAAGTTGTCTCGAAATGCTTCACAGAATTTTGCTGTAAGGTGTAGCGACTGCGCACATTATGGGCCAACTTGCACACAGTGATGTCCTACAAACGGCCATGAAGTCTATGACCAATTTTATTTAAGGGATGTTTGGGCTGGGCACCGGACATGATGGGTGCCATATTAAATGCAAGTAATTATTAATATGGCACTTGTTCAGCCACGGGTATCATTTTAAGATAAGGCTGGAATGAAGAATGTTGTCAGTCATCTACTCCCTCATAGAAACTCAGGAGAAAAAAGCCTCCCCACAACATTGGATTCCTGTGGGTTAGAGGAGCATTCAGTGCATGCTTGAAGAGATAGCCTGAGCAAAATTCTGCTGCTCAAGACTGCAGTACTTTGAAACTGATTTGAAAGCATTTATTTCTTAATTGGACAAAGCATTTATTTCCTAATTTGACTAAAGTTTAACAAGGCTGAGAGCGGGCCTGCCTCTCCATATCACCAGCCCAGCAGAAATAAGACTGCTGAGGCTTCGTTTTACTGTTTTGCCTGTGATCCAGCCATAAGCCAAACCTCAATCTGAAGACGCGTCAATTTTTCAAAAACTTCTTGGTTGACTGAAATCATACACCGACTCGTTTAAAAGACGTGCCTGTTTGAAATCTCTGACAATGAGCCTTGCCATAGATCTTGTTAAATAATGAGAGTAATAATAAAATCCTTTGCGTTTGATTGAGCGCCTTATTACATTGTTGATGCACCTCAAAGCTCTTCACATAAAAAAGCACGGAAAACAAAAATGTAATAGTACTTTGACTATCTCCGTCAATTTATTCAAAAACAGTCAGGTTGAGCTGAATAGAAAAATTATTTTTTTAATTCCTTCAGTTGATATACTGCACTTTACATAGTGACATCTCCAAGTGCTTTAGTTTCAGTAAAGTCTAATGGTTGTGTATTTTTTGTTTGAATGCAACAGCCATTTGGCATACAGTAGATCCTTGACATTTTTTTCAGTGTTTTGAGTTTATTAAGTCCTGCAGTTTTACATGTTGATCGTGGTTTGTTCCTGAACTTGACCCTTGTGGATTGTAAACTTACTCATGCTGGTACTATTTTACACTGATAACTTTAAGTAACTATATCTGAAACTGACAAAAGTGAGTGTGATGCGAGATCCTTGTTAATTCAATTGAATGGAAATTGTGTAACATTAGATGCAATGTGGGATCATAAATTTGTGATGTTGCTTAATTGATGTGAAGTGTATTCTTTATTGCTGTCAAAATTGCGTACAGTTGAGAACTGTGTTTTCCAACACTTTGACCCTGATCGTTTGGACTATTCATTTGGACTATGATCAGACTGGTTATGGTTGGAGAACAGTTCATAATTGTCATGTCACGCCATGTTCACTCCTGCCTCTTGCAAGCATTTGTGCACATAAATACAACATAATAATACTAATAATAATCCTTGCATTTGATATAGTGCTTTTCACGTCGGGAGGACGTCCCAAAGCACTTCACAGAACACACTGTAAAGTGAACTGATTCTATATTTGTGGGCGAACGCGGCAGCCAATTGCGCACAGCAATGTCCCACAAAGTCGTAGATTGAAAATGACCAATTTATTATTGTTTTTGGTTTTGGAGGTATTATTATTAGGCTCTGTGTGGAGTAAGGAAACTGGCCCAAGGTCTCGCCCTCTGCCTGGAATTGAACTCCGGTCTCTCGCTTGCAAAGCGAGTGCTCTAACCACTGAGCTACAGGACTCCACGATACAAGGATAGGTATCATTGCAACACAGTACTGCTCAAAAACCCTCCCCAAGTTTAATATAAAACTTGTTAATACAAAGCATTTCACAGAATATACTGTAAAGTGAATTGACTGTATATTTTGTGGGTGAAATGCGCCAGCTAATTGCACACCGCACTCAGCTTGGGAGCACATTAACTACGGAGTGCTCTATAATCAAAGGATTCCTTCAAAGACACTTGCTGTAAAAGAAGTCCACATTATCACATCCCAACAGGAGGGAATGTTTATTTATGAGTTCCCTCACTGTGTCAATCACTGCCACACAGTACTGTCAGTGTAGGGTCACTGACTTCAATGTGGAAAAGTGGTAAAAAAAAATCAGTGCTTTTCAATTGACGTGCAGATAAATGACAACTGCCCAGATTCACTGGTGTGTATAGACCTCTCTGTCTCTCTTCTCCCCTTCCTCCTCCCCTTTGCGGAGTTTACCCTGCCTGTTGAATTTGGAATCTGTTTATAGGAAAATATAAGACTCTCGTTCCCAAACATTGCAAAATATTGAAAAGGAAATGCAGATGGTTCAAATGAAATGCACTTTAATTGGTAATGTTTCAAACATGAGGCACACTGCTGCGTAACCCTTAAGTGCAGTCCATTTCCAGTCTGGCAAGAGCCTCCTTCCTTCATACCACAACGTATAGCAGTGCCAACACAGTCTGCGGGCAGTTCCCCCCTTTTCATTACAGAGGAAAAGAGAATTATACTCATTGTCTGAGCGAGTTGTAGATGTACATGCTCCCTTGGGAGATGGTGGAAGCAGAAAGTGTTGATCCTTTCAAAAGCAAATTTGATATATTTATTTTTTTCCAGCGCCCTGGGACATCTTTCCGAGGTGAAGGGCACTGTACAAGTGTAATTTGTTGTTGTTGTTAAGAAATAGTATGTTGGGATACAGTATATAGTTTGGGAGATGACATGTGCATGCGACTGCTAGGACGGTGGAAGGTGAACTAGATGGACCTTGGACTTCTTTCATCCAGCAATTCTTATGTTCTATGTCTGTCCAAAACAAGAAAAAGGGAAGGAAATAGATTCTCCGGACTGTTCCTGGTCAATGGGCATCATTTGTTCTAGTCTTTCTCTGTGGTCTGCACAACGGGGCACGGACATCCATTGGGACCACACAAGGAATGTCGCTTGTTATGCTCTATTCATACTTTAAATACTTTATACGTTTCACCCACAAAATACAGAGTCAATCCACTTTACAGTGTATCCTGTGAAGCGCATTGAGATGTCTCAACGACGTGATAAAGCGCTGAATCAAATGCAAGGATTTTCTTATTGGAGTCAGAGTGAGTGGTTAGTGCAGTGACTGATTATGTGCGGGGCTGTTTAGGGGCACTAGAAATGAGGGCTTGGTGTAGATTGTCTGTTTGTGTGATTGGCTCCATCTACGTACTCGTTACAGACTCAGGGTTCCTAGTGAAAATACAACATATCTATTGTTTCAGTGACGTGCCTGTCGTTCCTCAATATTTACAGTGGTTTTGCAATGGATCTTTCCAGCTCAGTATCATCCCATGCAGCTGAAATGTCTTTTTTACACAAAAGGGGACAGGTTGGGCACTTTGATATTGATGTCTCCGATGTTGATGTTCCGCGGCATTTCCGGCAGATTGATGTTCTTCACAGCGGAGACCGCTCGGGCGGGAGCAGCCGAGAAACCAGCCTGGAAGAGTGAACGCAAAAGTTAGTGCAACAGAGCGGAGAAATCAACAACAATCTGCATTGTTATAGTGCCCCTCACGCAGAGTAGCCTCCCGGTGATGAGAGCAACCCATCATCCAGTTCATTTAGAGTTACGCAGCCGCCACAGTGAAGTTTGGAGCAAAGGCGAGTAAATGGACTGGGGGTACAGATCAGCCACAATCTAATAGAATGGCGGAACAGGCTCGAGGGGCTGAATGGCCTCCTCCTATGTTCCTATGTTTGCATACCCTGGCTTAACAGCATTTCACAATCTGTTGGGTGTTTTGCATTTACAATCACTTTTCAACTTCTTCCCAGTGTCTTTCCAACTCTTTTTGCTTTGTGTTATTTGGGGTCTTTCTTTGCTCTCTCAAAACGCCTCATAGAGGCTGGCAATCCTACAGCAAATATGAAACTAATAATAATAATAATCCTCGCATTTGATATAGCGCTTTTCACGTCTTCTAGACGTCTCAAAGTGCTTCGCAGAATATACTGTAAAGTGAATTGTGGGCAAAATGCGGCAGCCAATTGCGCACAGCAGTGTCCCAAAAACAGTCGTGGATTAGAAATGACCAATTTATTATTGTTTTTTGGAGGGATTATTATCAGGCGTGTGGAGTAAGGAAACTTGCCCAAGGTTTCATCTTGCCTGGAATTGAACCCAGGTGTCTCGCTTGCAAGGCGAGTACTCTAACCACTGAGCTGCAGGACTCCACTGTTTAGCTTCAGCATGGTTATATTTATGAACCTCTATAAAATGGCATAATTTCTGTTTATGTCATGTTTTAAGACTAATATGAGACTGCAGAGTCAATCAGTGGTTGTTTCAGAAAACCCTGTGGTTTTATTGGGGGGGGGAAGAGACTCTAAAGAGGAGAGAATGTCTGTGAGGCAGAAATGAGAGCCAAGAGAGAATGAGGCAGAGAGAGACAGAAAGAGAAGAGAGAAATAGACAAGTGAAAGAGAAAAAGAGAGGCTGTAGTGCACATCTGGAATGAAACAGAGGCTTAGTAACATCAACAGTTAAAAATACTGTATATAAATGAGGAGAAAGGCACAGATGGTTGCAAGGTAAACATTAGTACAAGGCAAAGGATGAGGTACGTGCACAAAAATGCTAAAGTCGTTCCAGGATTGGCTCGTGAGGGAGTGAGATGATAGATTGGAAACCGCACCTCTCCTCTACAGCACCGAGGCAGAGAGGAAATACATCTAACGATGTACAGAGGTAAACCATGAAGTTCATCCAAAATGTAGACAACCACCCAACACAAACACATACTGTACTTCTTACTAATACATACAGCCAGCCCTTACATAAACACACGTGCAATCTGGCACTCCATCCCTTCCCCTACCCCACTTCCAGCATACACAAATACACACATACATTACTAATGATACCTAACAACAACAACTTGCTTGCATATAGTGCCCCTCACGGAGGGTAGCGTCCTAGAACGCTCGACAGTGGCGGAGCACAATGCTGAGCCAGCAGAAGTTGGCAAGGCGGAGGGATAGAGGAAAATGGTTCCAGAGTTTCTAATATTTTTTAATATTGTGTCCAAGTATTTCTTACCTCGGATTTTTCCACTTTGGTCTGTGTCTCCACCTGCAGAGCGATCTCATTCATGTTTGTCTCCAGAACCATCCCTCCCATCACCACCTCCTGCAGGATGTAATGGACCTGGGCAGACAAGAGCAGATGAAAACACCATCCAACAGGTTTGGGGAAACCAGAAGCCTGAAATTCCACCTAGTCTTAGCCTTCCTGTTTTCAATAATTTCAAACATTTTTTATTTTAAAATTGAAGGAGGAAATAGTTTTCAGCAGCTCTTAAAACGTACCAGGTCCCATGTGAAGATTGAGGTGAAGAACAAAATAAAAACAATCTTTAATATGTTGTATGTAGTAACTTATCACACGTAAATAGCAAGTAATTTTTTAAAAAATATAATAATAATAAACAAAATTTACAAAATATAGTTAATATATACAAAATATATCACATCGTTGAGACTTATCACATCGTTGAGACTTCTCAAAGGGCTTCACAGAATATAGTGTAAAATGGACTGACTGTGTATTTTGGGGGTGAAATGCAGCAGCCAGTTGTGCACAGCAATGTCCCACAAACAGTCAAAGAGTGAGTGACCAAATTTTCCATTATTTGGTGGATTGTTGGACAGGACACCAGGAGAGAGAAACTCCTGTCTCTTTTTGAATAGTGCCATGGAATCTTTAATATCCGCCTGAATAAGAAGGCAAACAGGACCTCCGTTTAATATCTCATCCAAAGGACATAAGGAATAATTAACAACTGAAGTGGGTTAATAGGAAAGGTAGGAAAACCAGGACTCTGGACCTTAATTAAAAAGCAGGTTAATGCTGTAAAATGGAAAGACAATTGTGTAGGCGTTCTGGAAGGAAGAGATCAAACGGGCTGCAGGACTTTACTCTTCTGAACCTATCTTTCGATCTTGTTGGTTCTTCAGTTTACCGTGATTCTAACAGCAATAAAAGACAGAACCGAACAAGCTTGTCTTATTAGAGTTGACGCAAGTTGATCTGTTACAGCCTTCACCATGACCTTACCCTGAACTGCACCGCAGTGATAGGCTGATATTCATATCAAGGTCAAGTGATAATAATTGAGATCAAATCTCAAGAGTAAAGGTTTATGAGCAATAATAAAATCTCTCAGTACAAAATAGCATTTCTTATCTTCATAATAAACTTGTGGCATTCAGTCTTGACAATGAATGTGGGAAACACCCTTGAATGGCTTTACTGCAACGTTCACTGACCAGTCTATCATAGATTCTCTTACGCTTGCATTCCTGATCTGCCTGTCTTTTTGTTTGGCTCCCGACCTGGTTGGCTGGCACTTTAGCAAACTTTACCTCAAAATCCTGGATTGCAGAGGGGGAAGAACAAGTCAGTGATCCTGCTACCTGCGACCTGCGACACCGCTTGGAAAGGAGATGAGCTGACCCCAGGCTCAACTATGATCTGGACTGCTACCCTGCATGACGGACACTATATAAATGCAAGTTGTTGTGGTTTATTCCTGCCCCTTCCATCCCATTGATTGAAGAATTAGCTGTCAACACTGACTGTCAAAGCTCGCGCAATGAACCAATGGGGGAGATAAATAATGAACCAATGGAGCCTGTCTGTGGAACTTTGCCTCCAGGGGGAAAAAAAGGAATTTACTTCAGAACTGAAGGAAGAGAGAAAAGGAATTATCTGCTTTCTCTCCACCAAGTTTCCCACTCCCTAATCATAAAGCATTAGGCTTGATGGTTTAAATGCCTGGTCAGTATCCCATATCAGTTCAAATGTCAAGCAGCAGGATCTCTACATAGAGACAATTGATCAGGAGGATATTGCCTCAGCTGAAAAGGACGGTGTATAACAAGAGGCACACAATAAAATTATAACTGTCTCATACTCATAAAAACGTTCAACATTTTTCACAACTGGTTAACAACTTTAGGCTGAACGTACCTTGTCCATGTGGAATATAAGATCGAGCTCGCAGACATTCTCAAAACACTTGTCCAATGTTTCCACAAACACCTGAAGAGTAAAACACAATCAGAGGTGTTCTTCCTAAGCCAGATCATAGGGACAGCATCACTACCCACCCGTTCAGCCTGTTATGTGTGGGGGTATGTGACCAGACTCTACAGCTATCAAATATGTTGCAGGACAAAATACATCCGTCAGACTTGTGGAATAATAAATCTGCAGCCATAGGATGGAACACAATCGCAGCTCAACACACAGGGAAACGCACTGTGTTCTCTGTGGTTCAAGGACTTCCATTAACAGAGAGTTTGGCAAACATTGCTGGTCGGGGAGGGTGGACAATGGGAAGTGGGACCATGAGTCTGAACCAACAAACGTAACAAGGGGCAGAAAGAAATAACGAACCGTTAATCTGAACTAAGTGGAGTAAACGGTGATGTAATCCATCTGAGCACAAAGTAATTGCTACACCACTTCAGCTTTTATCTTCCAATGTTTGTAAAGTGAAGAGAGGACAGTCAGGTAGAGTAATGGAGGCTTCCACCATGTCCTGTTGGGTAGTGGTTAGCAAGCGAGACAACCCAGGTTCGATTCCTGGGTGGGAAGAAACCTTAGGCGAGTTTCCTTACTCTACAGACCTCTGTTTACCTCGCAGTAAGCAGGAACACGGTTGTCAGCCGATTGGCAGATTGCTTTCTGGGGATAATAATCACTCAAAAAAAAATTGTCACTCAATTCACGACTGTCCGTGGGAAAAATGCTGTGCGCAATTGTTTGATGCGTTTTACCCACCAAATAGTCAATCCACTTTACAATTTATTACGTGAAGCACTTTGAGATATCTCAATGATGTGATAAGGCACTATATCAAATGCAAGGATTATTATTTTATAATAATAATCCTTGCATTTGATATAACGCCTTATTATGTCTTTGAGACGTCTCAAAGCACTTCACAAAATATACTGTAAAATGAATTGACTGTGTATTTTGTGGAACATCGGCAACTTTTGCCACTGTCCACACAGGATAATGATTGACAAACATAGTCGCCACATTTCTATCCTGATATGATGCAATGATAGATAAATAAATGATAAATAAACTATTACAATGTATGCATGTATTATATTATATGTGTTAAAGATCCCCAAGTTAAATCTTTGCAGGTTGAATTGAACTTTGGAATCTTTAACATATGTAATATAATAACCCCTCACCAAAGTTACATCAGTTTGTTTTATTGGTATCGGACATTGATGCTGAACAGACAGATATAACAGGGATGATAAGCAGAGAGAGGCAGGCAGCCTCCGTCAACACTTTAGGTACAAAGTTAATTATTCTGCATTGAGTTACATTCAAAAGGGCCTAATTCCCAAACAATTAAAACCATTATTCACACCATTTACGGTTAACCAAGAACAAAGAAAACATTTTGCAGTGTTTTCTATTGATTATTGTTATTAGTCCAATAAGGAGGGTTTGAAAGCAATAGTGGTGTTTCACTTGACAACAAAAATAATGGTGTTAACATGAATTACAACCCCATTTATTGAATTTACTTTCAGTTAAAAGTTTCCTGGTTTTGTCATTCCTTTCTCCCACTTGTTAAGTTTTCTTTTAGTCTCCCTGACCACCACAGCACAGCTCAAAACTTTCCAACAAAGACAGCTTTAGCACGTATTTCTGTAATCTGCAGATCAATCTGGGGTTGGGACTCTACTTTCAGGTCGTTTTGCAAATTAATCAGATAATATCACACCATATGTCAAATGACCCAGTTCAGCAGTGCCAACAACCAAATAGGTGGGGCTGAGTTACCATTTTAATCACCACAAGAAGTGATGGATGTGAATGAAACACTCTCTTCTTACGTCAGTTGCTAGCGAGGAACAGACAAAATAAAAGGCTGAGCTGAAATATGTTTGCATAAAGTTGGTAGGTAAACAGTTGGGTGCTGATATGTGAGAAGAGCAGCCATTTGTCTAATGATTAGCTGAGAGATGAGCCTCCAACGGAGATAAGAAGGCACTTTAGATGCTAAAAGCATCTTTGCTAATTCAGAGAAAAATTGAGCAAATCAATAATCTTGTTTATTTCTTTTAATTCTTATTCTTTTAAAAAATATATTATTTTGCTGCATTCTTGCCTGTTCCGAGCGAGCACTTCCACTGAAACTAATCCCATTTCTTTTTTTCCTCACTCTTTCTCTCTTCCGCCCTCCCACATGGTTTTAAAGCTTTGTTCTTCGAGTGCGTGTCGAATCATTTTTCTTTGTCACTTTCCCAGATTCATGAAATCCTAATTTTAATATGGACACAGAGAAATTCTGAAATAAAACCGCCTGCTTCTACCAGGAGTTTGATGGGTTCTAAACCTCTAAGATAGCCACTGAGTCAACGGTGCAGCACCTCTCTCCTTGGACACGTGATGAAGCGATGGGATAATCTCACAAACCTGTATGAGGTCCAAGATGCCCAATTCACTCTCAGACGAGTCGACACAGAACACGAAGTACAAGGTAGCGTAGTGCCGGTAAATCAGCTTGTAGTCCGAGCCGCCGATCAGACTGCAAACAAATGGAAGCTGTCACGGTCAGGGTTTAGGTGACATTTAACACCATCTCGAGGCTGAAAATGTGTTATTTACCAATCGGATGGCTACATTTTGATAACGATTTTGTTTTTGTGAATGAAATTGCATGACTTGGGAAACACTCCCGATGCCAAAGGCCATTTTTAGTCAACATTTTGCAGTGTTTATCGGGAAGGGCGTGCATGTGTGTTTGTGTGACACTATATACAACTATAGGAGGCTCACACGATCATGTTATCTGTGGGATATCGGGTGACCAAAAACAGTAGGCACAAGCAACGCGTTGGAGGGCTTCCTTCTGTGCTGAAAATGTCTATCTTTGAATGATACTCTGACCCTCATTTTGCATATTGTCTTCGTCGCGTATTTTACCACTCACCTGCCGCCTTCCAAAAAGTTGCAAACATTATCATCGCGCCTGGACACCAGGTGAAAGGTCTCCCGAATGATCTGCTGCTGCATATCTTCAGACTGAGGATGCAAAGGGAAGGTCACAGATTAGCAGCTGGAGCTCCCTGAGGAACGTACATAAAATCTGGCGATAGCTGCCACTTCAACTTCAAATCCAGGTTAGGTGGGTGGCCTGGGGAGACTTAACGCAGTTATTCAGGAAAGGAACGGAGCTGGAAAATAACAACAATAATAATCCTTGCGTTTGACACAGCGCTTTTCACGTCTTCTCGACGTCTCAAAGCTCTTCACAGAACACGCTGCAAAGTGGATTGTCCGTATATTTGTGGGCGAAATGAGAACGCTTACAAATAAATATTAATAGAAATAACAATAATCCAAGCATTTGAGGTAATGCCTCATCGTGTCTGAAAGAGCATCACAGAATATATTGTGAAGTGATCGATTTCAAGATCCTCACCCTCACCTACAAGGCCATTCACGGCCTCGCTCCCTCCTACCTCTCTGACCTACTATCCCCCTACCTACCCCCCCGTCCCCTCCGTTCCTCTGGCTCCGGTCTGCTCCACATCCCCCGCCCCAACCGCCCTACCATCGGTGGCCTTCAGCCTCTCAGCCCCGAGGCTCTGGAACTCCATCCCCAGTGCCTTCGCCGCTTCCTCCCTTTCCCCTTCAAGGCCGGTCTCAAAACCTTTCTCTTTGACCTTCAGCCTTCAGCTCCCCTCTCGACTCTCTACCCCCTCCTCGCTCCCTCCCTCCCCCTCACCCTGACCATTTCCCCCCTCCTCGCTCCCTCTCTTCCCTCCCCTCACCCTGACCATTTCCCCCCAATGCTCGGGTCCCGACCCAACTGTCCAGCGCCTCGGGACCTCCTCCCGACGTGAAAGGCGCTCTATAAATGGAACCTTGTTGTTGTTGTGGGTGAAACGGGGCTGCCAATGGCGCACAGCGGTTTATGTTTATGGCTTACGTTTACACGGTTTTATTGAGCGTCTCATATAGTATTTAAATGCACGTCACAATAGCGGGAGTTCGCCACCGATTAAGGTTTCAAGGGATATGGGGCAAAGGTGGACCAACAAACATCGAGCCGCCCGGTGTACACTCGCTCCATCCTCTGCTCGCGGGGGGGGGGGGGGGGGGGGGGTGTGGGGCAAAGAGATTGATTGACAGAACTTATATGAATAGGTTTGCAATCTCTCTGACTGCAACATAAGAACAGCTGGAGCTGGGGGGGGGGGGGAGGGGTGGGGGTCACTGCACAGCTGGAGCTGGTGTGGGGGGAGGTGTGTGTGTGAGGGGGGGTGGGGGGGGTAGGTGTGGGGGGAGGTGTGGGGGGGAGGTGTGTGTGTGTGAGGGGGAGGGGGGGGGGGGGTGTGTGTGGGGGGGGGGGGTTGGGGTGTGTGTGTGGTGGGGGGGTGTGTGGAGGGGTGTGGGGGGGAGGGTGTGTGGGGGGGGGGGTGTGTGTGTGTGAGGGGGGGGTGGGGGGGGTGTGGGGGGGGAGGGGTGTGTGTGTGAGGGGGGGGGGGGGTGTGTGGGGGGGAGGGGGTGTGGGGGGGGGGGGTATGGGGGTGTGTGTGGAGGGGTGTGGGGGGGGGGTGTGTGGGGGGGGAGGGGTGTGTGTGTGTGTGAGGGGGGGTGGGGGGGTGTGGGGGGGGAGGGGTGTGTGTGTGAGGGGGGGTGGGGTGTGTGTGGGGGGGGGGGTGTGGGGGGGGAGGGGTGGGGGGGAGGGGGTATGTGTGTGTGGGGGGGGGGGGGGGGAGGAGTGTGTGGGGGGGAGGGGTGTGTGTGTGTGTGGGGGGGGAGGGGGTGTGTGGGGTGTGTGTATGTGGGTGTGTATGTGTGTGTGTGGTGTGGGGGGGCCCTCCCTCTCCCTCTCGCGGGGGGTGACTGTGACTGTGACTGTGCCCTTTGTGACTCACGAAGTAGTGGTAGAAGCGGCCGAGCCGCGGCTTTCCGTGATTGTTGAAGACGAGAATCGCTTTAATCATTTTGGATTTGGGTTCCGCCGCTGTGTGTCCCCCCCTCACCCCTCCCCCTCACCCCCCGCGGCCCAACTTCCGGCCTCACACCGAAACCCTTCCGACAGGGAAACAACCGCCTGGTCGATACGGTCCGCGCGCTCCTCCCCATAGGGCCACAGGGGGGCGCTGGAGAGACTCCCCTGTGGTCTCTCTCTCCTCACCTACTTACCCCCCCACCCCCCCCCCCACCATCCCCCCTTCCCACTCCTTCCCCCAACACCCCCTCCCCCACTCCTCCCCCAACCCCCCCCCGCCCCCACCCCCGCCTCGCCTCCCCTCCTCTCCCGCCCTCCCCCCCCCCCCCACTTATCAACACCGACAACAACGTGCACTTACACAGCGCCCCTCACGCGGGGCAGCGCCTCGGAGCGCTTACCGCCAAACAGACTCGCGCGCCCTCCGCGTTCGGTTTGGGATGTTCTTCCGCGCGGCGATGGGGCCTCCCGCCCGCCCGCTCCGCCCGCCCGCCCGCTCCGCCCGCTCCGCCCTCCCGCTCCGCCCGCGTCAAGCGATCGGCGAGACAAGAGCGCGACTGGTTCACAGATGCGCTCGCCAGACAAGCGCGCGCCCTCGTCACTTTTATTTCGAAACGGCACAACAACAAAATAAGATCTTCCAACACTGCCGTAAGGCACCGGATCAAATGCAAGGATTATTATTATTATCATTCTGTTAAAAAAAAACAAAGGCTGTAAACTGTGGTCAGGTCGAGTCAGCAGAAAAGCCTGGGGACGGGCGGCGGTGCTTTGTGAAGACCGTTCTTCGAAAATCAATATCTCGCACTCAGAAGCCAAGCACCAAATAAAACAAAATTCCCCAAACAAAATGGGCAAAATTATATTGCTGAATGGCATTCACAATCACTGGTCTGGGACACTGTACTATCTTCACTTTTAGGAGCTGGGATACTACTACTACTACTACTAATAATAATAATATTATAAATGGATGTGAATGAAACGCTGACTGATGGGAGTAGCGTCTCCTCTCTGCAGCATGGAAGATCGGGTTGGGTTCAATGGGAACAAAACTGCAAATTATTTGGCACAAGTTAAAAAAACGACTTACAGACTTACACATGTGCTCCAGGAGGACTCCTGGAAGTGGAACTTTGTGTTTTACTGGAATCGGTTTTGTGCCAAAATGGATTCCACGTCCCCCCCAAAAAAATCAAGCGCAAATAATATACTATGTGCAAAAGGGGCAATACGAGGCAGTCTTTTCAACCACCAGAACAATTCACTGAAGAGTGTTTTGAGACATCGATTTTTTGACTTGAAAAGATACACCGTGTCTCATGGAATGCATGTCCTGTGACCAGTGACATTAATAAAGCAACATAGGGCATCATGCCCTCGCCACGTCAAGAAAAAAAATTAAAAAAGGCTGCATTTGAGGTTTGGCATCATCTGAAGTGAATGGAGCGAGCAAAGTAAACAGTTGTTTCTGAGTTGCTTTCCACTTCACTCCATGCCAGAAAATACCTAATAGATGTTCTTAACCCTGGCCAGGAGCCAAACATTTGTGTAACATGGCGGAGAACCAGCTGTAAGGCAGACACTTTTTGATACAAACTTCACATAAGTGTCTGAAACACAGTAAAATTCGCTTCTCTGTGTAAATCGTATAATCGCCTAAGTTATACATCTACCCAAGTCCCATTCAAGAGTTTATATTCTATGCAAGTTTGACATAACTCGTACTTTGCATAAGTCCTAACTGATACGACTTATGTGTGGTTTACTCTATAAGGTGGGGAAGGAAGAGACAAGGGACAAGGGGGTGGGGTGGGGGGTGAGAGGAGGAAAATGTTAAGTGAAAGAAGGGTTGGTCCTCTTCAATCCTGCTTGCCCTCATCATGTGACGTAGCCTTCCCCTGTTCTAATCATTTCAGGAGACAGACAGACATTTCTTCTGGCATTCCTGTATCTTGCTAATGATCCAACTAAGCTGTGAACCTTAGTCCTCCTGGAAGTAAAAGAAACGTGCGTTAAATGAAAACTCTAATTGAACAATGGAATCACTTCTCACAAGGTTTTACTCAGTGACTCAAACGAACGCTGATTTTACTTCTCACCAGGGTGGAGTCAAGAGAGGTGGAGGGCAAGGGGTGGTGGTGGGAAGATGAACAAAAGCACAGTCAAAGAGGAAAGTCTTGAGACGGGCCTTGAAGGAGGCAAGGGAGTGGATGAGGTGAAGGGACACCAGGATTGAGTTCCAGAAGGGTGGGTACAGGAAGGATAAGGGCCTGAACTCTGACAGTGGAGCAGGCAGGGCAGGGGATGTGGGGCAGGCCAGTGTCCGTATCAAGTTAGGAAAGGATTGGGCTTGGATGCATCCCCCAACCTATTGAATAGGCTACTGAATTTTGCCAGGGTTTGGAATACTCCAATGTTTCAGTGTCGCGTAATCAGTGTCTGGGCATTGATCCTCCATTTAAACATCTCTAAGAGGAACAGCTCCCACAATCAGTTCAGTCTGCTTTCCCATCTCACCCATTCATCCTCCTCTGCACCTTCTCCTTGCCCACCACTTTTGGAGTCTTGCTCCTTTTGAGTTTTAGCAGCGAAGACTTTTTCAGTCCAGGAGACTCCAGCAACCTGATCGCCTGCAAAGTTGCATTTCGTTACGGTTCCAGCATCCACTTTTGCCAAAGTAACTGTAAAAATAATCAATGAATACCATGTTTTATTATTGTGGAACCTGCTGATTCTGGAGACCTTTAGTTAAGACTTGAAACTTCTTGAAAATTAGTCAATTGCGGTTTCTTTGCGGGTATTTCACTGAATGACAACAAAAAGACTTGTCTTCCAAATTAACCACAACAGCAACTTGTATTTATATAGCCCCCTTAGTGTCTTGAATCGTTAATTAAGACAGAATTTCCCAGAATGCTTGCCAACCTTCAATTTTTATGGCAAATTGGTCTTAATGACTATCTATTGGGTATTTTGGATGGTTTAAAGCCTCTAGCTTGTCACTTACAGATAAACGGTCCGTCACCTCTGGTCTTCAAACGCAAAACATCTCCCATCTCAAGCTCAATTTTTTCCATTTCCCCCTCGGGGAGCCAAAAGGCCACTGTGTGGTCGGGCGTGTACTTCTCGGAGATTCTCAGCAGCGCCGGTTTGCTCAGCAGTCTCTTCAGCTCCTCTACTGATATCTTGTCTGTCTGTCCTTTGGCTTCCACTTCTGTCCAGCAGTGTAGCACATGACAAGACAAAAAGTAGAAAGTTCAGGCCACGGCTTACTCCCATAGTGGTTAGTGCGCTCACCTCGCAAGCAAGTGGACCAGGTTTGATTCCCAAGCGAAACCTTGGGCAAGTTTCCATACTCCACACTCCTCTGTTTACCTAGCAGTAAGTAGGAACCCAGTTGTTAGTTGATTGGCGGATTGCTTTCAGAGGGTAATAATTTACGAAAGAAAATGTAATCACTCAATCCACGACTGTTTACGGGACACTGCCGTGTGCATTTGGCTGCCACGTTTCACCCACAAAATACACAGTCAATGCACTTCAAAGAATATCCTGTGAAGTGCATTGATATGTCTCAATGATGTAATAAGGCACTGTATCAAATGCAAGGATTATTATTATTATAATTCCATACTCACTGAAGGAAGACATCAAGTAGCCCGTGTTTACTTTCTTTGTATCACTGAAGTTTGGTTCCATCTCCACTCCGAGAGAATCAAACTTTCTCTTGTGGATCCTTGTCGGTTTGATGTACAGAATAAAGTAGCGATCCTAAAAAATCCCCATGATGGTATTTTAATACATTAATCTTCCTTTCCTAGCTTTGCATTCTATAATGAGACTTTTATATTATTCAGCCTGTATTTGTTTTCAAACTATATATTTTCTCCCATATTTTAGGATTGGTGTATTAATCGTTGTGTGTGCTTGAGCACCTATTTTGTGAAGGGAGAGAAACTCTCTTCTCTGGGATATTTAACATCCACCTAACTAATAGACCTTTAGACGTCATCCGAAAATCAGCACCTCTGAAAATGCAGTGATCCCCAGGACTGCATTTGATGGTCAGCCTCGCTCAAAAGTCCTGACATGGGGCTTGGATCCCACCACCTTCTGACCCAGGAGATGATGCTACCAACACTGTTAAATGATTCGGCCACTGGTAAGGGGGCAGTTAATGATAACCGGTTGTCGGAGCACACACGGAAATACTTCAAAATATTTTCTTACCTTATTTTTACCGCTATCTGTGATCACATGGCGGGAGACGTCCACCAACTCCCCTTCCAGGATCACTCCATTACCTCTGCAAGATCCAGTGGTTGTAAGGTTAACAAAGCGTCTCGGAGCCAGGCACGCTCACAATTTAAACAAATTACAGTATTTTCAAACCAAGTGGATACACAAGAGTACTTTGGCTCTTGAGATCGTGATGGGAGGGGCGCTCTGCTATGCCAGCCCTCTGGCATGTGTTCGCAGAATGATTGCCGTCCAAGGGCGGCAGCGAAATAAAACCGAACAAAACTGGGAGGGTCGGATAAGTTCTCAAAACGAAAGCTTCGAAACGTTGGCATCTTTTACTTTAAACTGGAAAACATGAGTTCCCGTGAAACCGGTTCGGACCACCACATTTATTTTGCGCCCTTCATCTCGGAAGGACTTCCCAAGGCGCTGGACGTAAGGTTACCTGAGCTGGGGGTTGGAATCAAGAGTGGGGGTGGGTGGGGGTTAATTGGAGCAACAGATAGAAGTGGGAACAGCGACGAGGGGAATGGAGAGGAGCAAATGTTTGCAGATGAGAGGAGTGCAGAGGGTGACCAGTGGGAAAACGGATAGACAGAAAGTGGGGAGCGCTGGTGGATCCGATCCCCCTTCCCAGGCTCTCTTCCCTTTCCCCCTAACTCAGTGATTTGCTCGTTTCTTCCCCCCCCCCCAAAAAAAAAAAACCCCTCCAGTTCCAGTGGTCCCCCCCCCCCTGTACCTACCCCTGGAGGGCCACCGGCTCCCAGAGCGCAGACACCTGCTCCGAGTTCACAGGTTTGTTCCTAAGGACCGCGTTATCGTAAATCCGACTCATCCCTCACACCCCCTCACACCAGGTTTGGTGTGTGACTCGGATTTCCGCTTTCCCGGGGGGCGGGGGGGGGGGAAGGGGGATCCGACTGACGAGATTCCCGGGAATTATTCGCAAGCGATTCCCAACCCGATCCAACCCAAGCTCTGGGGTGGGGGAGAGGGGTGGGGGTTGGGGGAGAGGAGTGGGGGAGAGCAGTGGGGGAGAGGGGTGAGTGGTGGGGGAGAGGGAGAGGGAGAGTGGTGGGGGAGAGTGGTGGGGGTGAGGGTTGGGGGAGAGTGGTGGGGGTGAGGGTTGGGGGAGAGTGGTGGGGGTGGGGGTTGGGGAGAGTGGTGGGGGTGGGGGTTGGGGGAGAGTGGTGGGGGTGAGGGTTGGGGGAGAGTGGTGGGGGTGGGGGTTGGGGGAGAGTGGTGGGGGTGGGGTTGGGGGAGAGGGGTGAGGGTGGGGTTGGGGGAGAGGGGTGGGGGTGGGGGTTGGGGGAGAGTGGTGGGGATGAGGGTTGGGGGAGAGTGGTGGGGGTGAGGGTTGGGGGAGAGGGTGGGGGTGATGGTGTGGGAGAGGGTGGGGGTGGTGGTGGGGGAGAGGGTGGGGGTGTGGGGGTTGGGGGAGAGTGGTGGGGGTGGGGGTTGGGGGAGAGGGGGGGCGGCCGCCTGGTTTGTGTGGTTTCTCGGGATATCCCCGGGGTTCCCCCTCCCCACGACGCGTCACTGCGCCGCTCTGTGACGTCAGTCAGACTGAATGTATCAATCCCGGGAGGGGGGGAATCCCCGGAAATAGATCAGGAAAAGGCGAACGCTGTCCAGATCCTTCCACTGGGTCTCTCTCTCTCTCTCTCTCCCCTCTCCCCTCCCTCTCTCTGTGTCTCTTCCTCTTCATCATTGTATAACCCAACGTCCGTCTAAAGCAGTGGTGACAACCTCTTTGGTTTGACCAACAAAACAAACGTCCCACCATAGAAATAATTTCTCGATTAATGACATAAATCCTATTGCTATTTAGTTCTTGCTGTGATTATTTTGTGGGGCAATCTTTCGGGGGGGCGGGGGGGTCGGGCTAAAGATTCGCCCGCATGCCCTGCGCAGCCAGTAACGAGGCGTACGTAACCCTAACTTCAGCTGAAGATACAGGTCCCCTGCGGTTAATGGGGTGATCCAAGCTGCGGCGAAGTATTTGTTTTCCTGGGTCCGGTTATCGTTGCATTTTTCTGATGCATTACACGCTGTCAAGACATCTTAAAGCGCTTCACGGGATAGTACTGTAAAGCGGATTGACTGTGTCTTTTACGGGCGAAGCGTGGCATCCAATTGGCACGCAAGAATTATTACATTTCTTTTGTTCTTATTCTAAAAGCAAAACAGCGGTTTGAGGATAGAGATCGCAGGGTGAGAGGAGCCGGTTGTGTCAGATGTTCAGGACAATTCGATGGTGCAGGCGGCTCCCTGGAGCTGGTGCCCAGGACGTTAGAAACTGGCTTCTCTGGGACCTGGTAAACCACAGGCTTCAGCCTGTGCAGAGATGGAGCGATGCATCAGACGCCTCGCTCAGCAAACCCGTGCAGAACCAGGGCAGTGATCAGACGAGGAGGACTTCTTTACGAAACAACTGCTTTCCGTACTCTTCTCTAGCCTCTTGGTCTCTGATTAGCCAACTGTTGCTCGGCGGCAAAGTGGGAAGCAAGCCCGGTCCTTTCATCTTTCCGGGAGGCGTCAACGACCAGCCGGACTTGGATTCGGAAGCGGGAGTGGAGGTTCTGGACGCCAATGACTTGGAGGCAGTGATCGAATATGAGGAGAAAGATCTGGCGGATTTGGAGAAGAGACGAGCATTGCGCCATGTGGAGGGCTTCACGCCTCCTGAGAGCGTGACCCTCCTGCAGACCGCTGACGGGAGCCGTGTTTATGTGGTCGGGGTGGCACATTTCAGTGAACAGAGTCAACAAGATGTGCTACAGGTAGGTCTTTTTGGAGAGACCGGTGTAACTCTATAAGTCTGTTTCAGAAAAAAAGTGTTCAATTTGCTTTCCAATTTATAACAACAACTTGGATTTATATTGCGCCCCTCATGCGGGGTAGTATCCTCGACATTGGCAGAGCATGATGCCGAGCCAGAGGGACGAGGAAGGTTTTCCGATGTGACCTGAAGAAAGGGGAAAAGCAGAGGGATTGAGGGAATGAGTTTTGGGGTGGAAGCGGCTGAAAGCTGCCAAGCAGGTAATGGGTTGGGGAGTAAGCAGTTTGGAGAGGAAATGGGTCGGAGAGATGGGAGGTGCCAGGGTGCGAAAGGATTTGAAGATGAGTGTGAGGATCTTCGAGAAAATAGCTTGGTGAGATAATTTCAGTCCAGAGTTTTCAAGCAGGTAGTTGATGAGTACTGTCCACTGGTATTTCCTCTGTCTCTAAGCTGATGGTAAATGCCCTGTTACCTCTCCCTCCCTCTCTCTCTCTCTCTCTCTCTGTATCTCAAGATGGTGAGGGCCATGCAGCCTGATGTGGTGATGGTGGAGCTGTGCAGTGGAAGAGAAGATGTGATGCTGTTGCCTGAGGACATGGCGCTGAAGGAGGCCCAGTCCCTGAGTCTGTCCAAAATTGGCCGCACGATAAGACGCAATGGTTTGGGTCTCGGCCTGGTTCAGTCAACAATAATCCTGATCCAGGCCAAAGTCACCAAGAAGCTAAACATGGCTCCAGGTGGGGAGATGAGAGTGGCGTTCTCCGCGGCCGAGCAGGTTCCGGGCTGTAGGGTTCTGTTGGGAGACCGTTCCATCGAGGTGACTTTGAGGCGAGTGCTGGGAGCCGTGGATTTCACCACGCTGTACAAAGTGGTTACGTACGACTCGCCAAAGCGACAGACCGCCACCAACATTTCCAAAGCCAGGGTTGAGGAAATGAAGAAGAAGGAAGCGGTGGAAGAAATCCTGGCGGAGAGTCACAAGCAGTCGCCCAGCCTGACCAGGGTCCTGATCTCCGAGAGAGACCAGTTCCTGGTGCACGCCGCTCGGCGGGCAGCCAAGCCCATCCCACTGAAGGACGGGACGAGATTTCCGGCTATTGTAGTGGTCGTGGTTGGCGCTGGGCACGTGCCTGGGATGATTGAAAACTGGGACAAAACAATTGACATTCAGGAGATCACCAGAATCCCTCCCCCTGGGTCTGCGCTGCGATCGATGCAACTTGTCTTCAATGCAGCCATAACTATTCTGTTCTCCTATATTTTCTATCGAGTGTACAAGCGAGTAAGGCCGCAGGGTAACCCGTGAAAGTTGTTGCAGTAAAATTAAAGGTGGAAGTACACTTTATTTCACTGTTGTTCTCAGTTGTTTGCACTCTGGGGGTCACCAAGTCTTAGGCTACAAATCTTCTGGAACATAAGTAAAGAACAAAACGTGGAATAAGGTATGCGTTGCTTGCACTTAGCCACCAGTAACATTCCTGGCTTAACTGAAGCCTTCCAACTTGCTAACATTACTGCATTAGTAGAGATCAGCCCGAGACAAATACACAATTCTGCCCAGGTCGGGACTTTGAATTCACAGTGTGGCGCAGTGCTGAGAGTGCTGCATTGCTGGATCTACAGATCTTTAGATAGGATGTTACATCAAGGTCCATTCGGCCTATTCAGGCGGACCTTAAAGATCCCAAGGCACTACTTGGAAAAACGTCATTCACTTCACGGCTATTTGCGGGACACTGCGAGCGCCAAATGGGGCCGCCCCCGATCTCCTACAAAAATGCACGGTTCGCTTTACAGTAAGTCCTGCCAGTGCTGTGCGTCAAAGGAAAGGATTAGTTATTAATAAGAGCCCAGATCTCGCAAGTACTGCGTCGTTCAATAAGTGAGAATTGGTGATTTGTGGGGGGTGCGGGGGGGGGGGGGGGGGGTATAAGCATGCGGTGTATTACGACGCACGCCGTGTCGTGCGAGCCATCGCAGCTTCGCGCCCATGCGTTTAAACGCGAGCTGCTGAAGCGCTCCGAGACGCTAGCCCGGCGTGAAGGGCGCTACATAAAGGCAAGTTTTCCCGGCAGAGGTCAGGGCGAAACCTCGGGCAAGTTTCCTTACTCCACCCGCGGCCCTAATAATAATAATAATAATAATCCCTCCCCCCAAAAAAACGACAATAAAAATGGGTCATTTTCGATCCGCGACCGTTGTGTGGGGACATTGCTGTGCGCGATGGTTGGGGGACAGTCAACGCCCTGGACAGTGTGTCCTGCGAAGCGCTTTGGGACGTCCCCGGAAGATGGTTCGTTTGTATACATTATTGCTACACCTCTGGCAACAATGTTGCTCCGGTCCGGTTGGCCGACCATCAGCCGCCACTCCCTTTGACCGACGATCAACACACACACACACACACACAGAGAGAGAGAGAGAGTGTGTGTCGCACTATCCGGTCCCCCCCCCCTCCCTTTCCCCCCCAAAAAAAAACAGAAAGACACCGACAATTGCCAGAAGAAGAAGGGGGAAAAAAAACACAACAATGCTCTTTATTATTATTATTATTTTGAGGGGGAGGGAGACCAGGGGAGTGGGTGATGGGGAACTCCGGGAAGGTTTCTGGTTGTGCAGCTCCGGGACGGTGTGGCACCGCTGGAGGGACACGTGAGACAGAGAGAGAGAGTGAGAGAGAGTGAGTGAGTGAGTGAGTGAAGTGCTTCACTCTCCCTCCCGGCACTGGGGGCTACTCGAGGCCGTGTCACTCTCTCTCGGTGGGGTCCCGCGGCTCTCAGCGGTTCGAGCACTCGCTTCACCAAACGATAGCCCCCAAACCCCAACCCCCCCCCCACCCCCCCCCCCGAGATCAATCCCAGGCACAGGTCACAGGGCCAAACCCTGTCCCCACACACACAGTCACACACACACACACAGTCACACACACACACACAGTCACATACACACACACAGTCATACACACACACACACAGCCCCACACACACCCACACACACACAGTCACATACACACACACAGCCCCACACACACATACATCCCCCCCCACACACACACACAGCCACACACACACAGCCCCACACACCCCCACACACAGTCACACACACACACAGCCCCACACACACACACATCCCCCCACACACACATACATCCCCCCCCACACACACACACAGCCACACACACACAGCCCCACACACACACACAGTCACACACACACACAGCCCCACACACACACACATCCCCCCACACACACATACATCCCCCCACACACACACACACAGCCCCACACACACACCCACACACACACAGCCACACACACACATCCCCCCACACACACTTACACCCCCACACACACACACAGCCCCACACACACACCCACACACAGCCCCCCCCCCCCCACACACACACACACACACACAGCCCCCAATGGTAATATTCCCTCCCAAACCGACCACAGCGATAATAATAACTCGGTCACTTGCCGACCCGCCGCTGTCCGCGGGACGGAGGCCGCTGCGCGCAATCGGTTGCCGCGTTACGCCCACGAACACGCAGTCCATTCGCTTTACGGTGGGTTCCGTGCGGCGCTCTGGGACGTCCTCCCGGCGTGAAAAGCGCTCTATCAAATGCGAGGATTATTGTTATTGTTATTAAAGCAGCTCATTTCTAATTATAATTTCTAGATCAGCGCACGAGGCGGTCTTCGTGATGCACCCCGGCCCCTTACACACTGCACACAAGACTTTGTTTAGTGTTCCTGCCTTCATATACAGTCTCATATACACATATATATATATATATGTATATATATATCACTATACAGATAAAAGGCAAAATACTGCAGATGCTGGAAATCTGAAACAAAAACAGAAGTCGCCGGGAACGCTCAGCAGGTCAGGCAGCGTCTACGGAGAAAGGAAAGTGAGTCAACGAACAATACATTTATATATATATATATACATATGTGTGTGTGTGTGTGTGCGTTGCAGAAGGTGGGGTTTAAAAAAAAGGGCTAAATGTATGCATTATGTTTTCATATTTAAGACACGTTGTCAGATGTTTTAATTGCAAGAGTTTATCTCCTCTTCCCCTACCTCTCGAGCCCTGTATTGGAAGTTAAAAGGCTAAAGGCAGCTTGTGTGGCATTACTTCTAAAGGTCTGGGACTGTAAACGAGAAATACCCACCTTTCACCTTTCACCTCAAGAGGAGGGGAGAAATATAAGCGCCAAAGTTTGCATTTGTGACAGTGGCCGCAATTGCATTTCATCTGACAATATGATTGCTGTACTTTGGGAATGATTTAAAGAAAGAGTGTGTGAAAAAAGAGCACCGTTCTGTAAAAAAAAATCTGTTTTGGGGCACTAGAAAGTGTAGAGCTCTGGGACGCTACTCTGCATGAGGGGCACTATATAATTGCAAGTTGTTGTTGTAATTTGTGCTGAAAAGACTGTTTGAATTGTACCAATACTGTATTGTGTAATCTATTGAAATGACTGTATACATGTTTAATATTTATCTTACTTTGTGTTCTGTTCAGGAGACCTGCCTCCTGCTGTTGAGCAGTTAGAAATGGCCAGAACAGCAATGAACCTGGTTCCCCTCGATCCCAGGGACCTGGGGTCTCAGCGATGCCGATTGGGACCCAGTGCACTGGCTTCGCTGGGTGTGAAGCTGGGCTCCCCTGTGCAGGTCTCAGTGCTGGGAGGGAGCGCACTGTGCACTGCCTGGCCGAGGACCGACCTGGCAGATGGCTTCCTGCAGCTCGACACCAAGTGCGCGACTCGGGATTTGATTGGGAAACCCTGCAGAGGTGTGAGGGTCAACCTGAGCCAGTTGAAGGCCGTGCCCTGCATTAAACTGAGAGCCGTTCAGGTGAAAGTGATCGTTAAAGACCTGCATAGCAAGAAAAGAGCCGAAAAGACCCAACTGAAGGAGTTAGTGAAAGACTTGCTCAGGAACGTGTACCTTTGCCCCAGGCATGTTGTTGCTGTGACTTTCGATGCTCCTGTAGCGTTCATTGAGATTGAAGGAGTGGAACCGTCTACACACGCTGCCGGTCTCCTGACCTCTAAAACAGCTGTCAGGCTCATGGACATTATCACTGTGGAGCATTTCAGGAGCATCGACTCTAAAGCCCCGTCGCTTTGTCTGGGTGGGATGGACAATGTTCTCCCTCCATTGAAAGAGATTCTGAACTTGCCTTTCCATTACCCCAAGACCTTGGCTACATTGGGCTTGTCTTGCCCCCGAGGAGTGTTATTGGTGGGACCCCCAGGGGTGGGGAAGACCTCGCTGGTGCGCGCTGTCACAAGGCAAGTGGGATCGCGGTTGATTGGGATCAGCGGGGCGGCAGTTCACGGAGCCAGGCCGGGGGAGAGCGAGGGCAACCTGAGAAGGATCTTCCAGCAGGCGAGGGACTCAGCTCAGGAAGGGCCGTGCGTGCTGTTCATCGACGAGATTGACTCGCTCTGCCCTAGAAGAGGCAGCTTGGGCAACGCTCCCGAGGACCGCCTGGTGGCTCAGTTGCTGACGCTGATGGACGGGGTAGGCAGTGAGAGTCAGTTGGTTGTAATGGCGGCGACAAACAGACCCCAAGCCCTGGATCCTGCATTGAGGCGGCCAGGACGGTTCGACAGAGAGGTTAGTGTAAGGTACATCAGACGCATTAAACGTTATAATGATAGTAGTCCTTGCATTTGGTGGAGCACTGGAATTCACGTCGGAAGGACGTCTCAAAGTGCTTCACAGGATTTACTGTGAAACGGAATGACTGTATTTGTAGGCAAACAAGGCAGCACAATTGCACACAACAATGTCCCACAAACAGCCATGAAACGAATGACCAATAATGCACAGTCATAAATCCTTACCAATCGTACAGTCAATAATCCTTGCCCTGTTGAATGATCCGTAAATCTACAGAGTGCAAGGCTTTCTAATGCTACAGTTTAACCAGTGAGGTAGACCAAAAAAAGGAGTCGACAAATTCTTAGTCTCCTAGCCCATCTGTGTTTTTTTTATTTAGTTGCCAGACTAGTCTTGTAAATTTAGATTGAAATCTCCGGGTTCTGCTTCCCATCCCAGGTGTTTATTGGGGTCCCCACGCTGGAGGAACGTCGGTCAATTCTGGAAACAGTCGGAGCAGGGATGCCTCTCACCCGTGAAGTTGATGTGCCCTGGTTGGCAGAAGTGACCAGCGGCTATGTTGGTGCTGACCTGGTTGCTCTGTGCCAGGAGGCCGCTATGCAGGCAGTGAGAAGGCGATGCCAGGTACATCCGCTAACCATCAGTGAAATTGGTGATCGATTTGAGGGGTTTAAAATGATGAGGGCAATAGACAAGCGAATCGGAGCATGGCTCTTCCCTCTGGTGTGAGAATTCCCAAATCGTAGGGATGGAACAAATGCTTTGCCAGGTAGAGCGGGTGTCTCCGGGGAAGCCCCCTATGTGTCACCTTGACCAGTGAGACCTCGGCTTCGATCACCTCGGAGCCAAATGAAATCGGAAACGATTCCTAACGCAGATGTTTAAATGGATTGGATTGAGTACCTTCCCGGTCTGTGCGGCCAGCACCTCCGGGAGGAAAAGTGGTGCTGTGCCTTTGGAATACAACACAATTCAAATTTACATTTATATAGAAAATGTCCCGACGTTAACCCGTCCAGGATGTGTCTGTGTCTGTGTTGAATGTTCCTGGTTTGTAAGCTTTAAATGACGGTTTCTGATCCCGTGATGTTCTTTTGGGAGGGAAGGACTCGGCAGATCCTGAAATCAGGCCAACAGACTTCCGCGAGGCTCTCAGGACGGTGCATCCTTCATCCCTGAGGAGCAGCGTCGCTCGCATCGACTTCCGACCCATCCTTTGGGAAACGATCGGAGGCTTGGAAGACGTTAAATTGAAACTGATGCAGGTAAAATGAGCTGTGGTTATAGTGCGCTTTCTCTCCCTTTCGTAGGTAATAATAATAATAATAATAATCCTTGCAGCGCCTTATCACATCGTTGAGACATCTCAAAGGTTCACAAAATATATTGTAAAGTGGATTGACTGTATATTTGTGGGTGAAGCGCAGCAGCCAACTATTTTGTTATAATAATGCATTTCAAATGAGGAGGATGCCTCAAAATGCCTTCAGTGTGAAGTGTAGTGACTATTTTGTAAAGGGAACGGAGCAAACGGAATGAGTGCTGAGCCTGGGTTATATAACGGTTGGGTACAGATCATCAGGTCTATGAGAGTCACTTGTTCTGTGTGACACCTTGGAATTTCCTCTCCGTTTACAGTGTATCGAATGGCCAATGAAGTTCCCAGATGCATTTGTGAGGATGGGCCTCACTCGCCCCAAAGGAATTCTTCTCTACGGACCCCCAGGTTGTGCAAAGACCACCCTGGTGAGGGCAGCCGCCACTAGCTGTGGCTGCTCCTTCCTGTCGCTCAGCGGAGCTGACCTCTTCTCTCCCTTCGTCGGAGACTCTGAAAAGATACTCGCTCAGGTAATTCACTTTGGTTTGAGAGAGACGTGTTCCAGCGAATATCTGGATCAGGGGCGTCCATACTTTTGACTGCTGAAGGCCGGATGCGGGATTTGAGAAATATCTGGAATATGTTATGCTGATTGGCCAGTCCTGTTTTCGGGCAGAGCCTCAGCCCCTGCTGAACCTCAGGGCCTGCTCGTCGCCTCTATTGGCTCGTTGGACAGTGAAGTTGGGAATGGTTCGCGGGTTGGATAAAATCATCCACTGGGGCCAGATGCGGCCCGCGGGCCGGCAGTTGGACCACCCTGATCTGGGGCATGAGGGTTGGACCAACTCGATCGAACCCGTCTCGCTCGCGAGGCGAACGCACTAACCTCTCCGCTACTGGACTCCACCACAGGTCTTTCGGCAAGCAAGAGCCGGAGCCCCAAGCCTCCTGTTCCTGGACGAGATCGACTCCATCCTGGGATCACGGTCGCGGGACGCCAAGGACGGGCGCGGCGTGCACGAGCGAGTCTTGTCTGTTCTGCTGAACGAGATGGACGGCATTGGGCTGGCAGTGACCGAGAGGAGGGGCGCAGGCCGCAAAGGGCCTCTACACGAGGGAGGAGGCCAGCTGGCAGAGGCGAGAGACGATGCCAAGGTATCAGATAGGACGCAGTCTGCCTCGGGTGTCTTCGTGCAGAAACACAATCTGCTGCTGCTTTGTCTTGCGGGTCTGATCGGTTTGAAAAAACGCTCTCTGCGTCTTCCTCCGTCCCTTTGTTTTGCTCTTCACCTCTTCCCTCCCCCACCAGATCGGCACCGTTAAGCGCTCCCGAGACACTGCCCCACGTAAAGGGAGTGAAATAAATGCGACTTGTTGTTGTTGTTGCTGCTCTTCAGTTGGAGTTTCAAGAGGTTTGCAACAAAGACGTTATCGTGGTGGCTGCCACCAATCGGCCCGACCTGCTGGATGACGCCTTGCTGCGTCCCGGGAGATTTGACCAGATTGTCTACGTTCCACCTCCTGATGAAAACGTGAGCGTGCGCTCTGTACGGTAATGACTGTAATACGGACTCTGTTATCACCCGGTGGTTTGAGGTCCATGAAATCAGACCCTGTGTTAAAACGGGTCACGTGTTTTTTAAAAAAACTAAAATGGCAGCCGGTGAACATTTTCGGATCACTGCGCAGGGAGCTGACAAACGCCCTCGGGAGCAGCTCCACCGGTTGCTGAGACACCGCTAGATGCCGAGACGCTTTCTCTGCTTGACCGGGAATCCAGCCGGCCGGCTATCCCTGGGTCGATAGGAAGCGAAGCGCGGTGTAATAGCATCTAACTGTATCATTTGGGCTGCTGTGTCTCGACGTGTTAATGTCCAGTTGTGGTGCAGGCAGTCACCACCAGATCGCAGCATTAACTGTCTTGACTTCGATCAGTAGGGCTCACTCCCATTGCACAACCTGCTTCAGTTAGGACCGCCCACCATCCACTCTCTTGATCGTTCAGTTCACAGTAATGTTTGCATTTCCTCCTTATTACGCGTTGGCTGCTTTTCAAATGGCTTCCACACCTTCTCTGGAGGGGTAGGGGGAGGAGGAAAGGAGGACCATTACCATTTGAGTTTGACTTACAATCCTGACTTTATTGACGTCCTGCCAGGTTTATTAATAAAGAATAATAATAATAATAATAATCATCATTGCAGTTGATCTAGCGCCTTTCACGTCTCAAGAAAGCACTTTACAGGACTCACTACACCATAAAGTGTAGTGACTGTGAATTTTGTAGGCGAATCGGGTCTCTTAAGTAGAAACGTTGTCGTTGAAGCAATCTATAAGAGATGCTAACACATCAGTGTCCATTGTGGGTCAGGTTAACACAGAATGGTTACCTCACCCCCCCCACCCTTTTGTTATTTTCTCCCCAATTCTTCTTTTGCTTACTAAACGCAGAGTTTCTTTGTCGCTCTTCAGGCCAGAGTTTCCGCGTTGAGGATCTTCACGTCCGTCACTCCGCTGGGTGCTGACGTGTGTCTTCAGGAGTTGGCGAGGCAGACCCCAAACTTTTCCGGAGCCGATCTGCAGAGCCTGTGTAAAGAGGTAAGTGTGTCCCGCCACGGTTTGAGGCGACCGTAAACCGCTCTCCCATCGCTACCTGTCTGTTTAAGTGGTTATTGCTGGGTGTCGTTTTGTCCTTGTCTTGTACGTTCATATCAAAGCACTGATCCTTCAGAAGTGAAGTCAAATCAGGCTGCTGCTTATCCTGTACAGTACAGGGTGTTCATAAAGTCCTGCTACCCCCATGTATTCACTGACTCAACAACTGAAACATGTGGAAGAATGATGATAATTGTATCCAGAAGTACTTAATTGTAATTCAGTACAAGTGTATAACTGTATTCAGACGTCCAGAGGATGGGTGTGTGTGTGTGTGATGGTTGTGCCATAATTTTTATGGCAGATAACGATCGGTGCGATATCTTCCGTCACGTGGATGGAGTGAGGTGGAAGTTACTGGTATCGGACATTGTTACGCTCGACTCATCTGAAACAGTGAATAAAAATCAATGTAAGAAAAAGGGGGTCGCAGGACTTTGTGAACACCCTGTACATGTCAAAACACTTGTAACTTGTGTTGCAAATGATAACAGGAAGCCGGGCAGCTGCATCAGTCAACGTAGAGCTGAGAGGTTCTTTCCACTTGTACCGACTTAGCAACTCAAACCTCAACCTTGTCAGACCGCAATCCGTGATCGAGCGCGCAGCAGCCAAGTAATATCCTGTACCTGTCTGGTTAGCCTTGTCGGGGAATTCAGGGTGTCTACAAAGTCCTGTCACCCCCTGTTACAAACGGTGATATGAGACTATGGAGGAGCTGAAACAAGTTGTCAAAGATGCATTTGACCTCGTCACTCCATCCATGTTACGGAAGATGTTATATATCTTTCTTTTGTTTGTATGTGGTTATCGACTGGGAGGGTTTCAGCGCTGGGGAATGGAACATATTTAGCGCACATGTTGTCAATGCTGTCAACCTTTCGCAACCGTGGTCTCCTGCTTCCACCACTGCTTCCTTTGGTGGCCAAGTCTCCGCTGCCTCAAAACTGCTCCCAATATTCACAGCAATATTACAGCATGTTACAGCACACGAACAGGCCCAACTAACCTGCACCAGTGTTTATAATCCACACAAGCCTCCGAGCATCCTCTCCTGTTCCCTTTGCTTGGCTCATTCTCTCCCTCCCAGCAAACCTCTATTTGAAATGTATCTCTTTGTCAGCGCATTCGGTCAACGTCCTTAAATCCCTATCACCACCACAAAGCGGCTTTCGAGCTGGTGATTCTGCGTGAGTGGCCTTGATACAAGTGCAAGTCATTTGGTGTTGAGCCCACACAGTGTAGGTGGAGCATGCACCAGATGCACCATAGACTCTCACTTGCCTGTGAGTGATGAAAAGCTGGGAATAACTCAATACTGATTTATCCCTTTCACCTCGCTGTGTGACTTACCTGGAATTCAGACGATGGTGCCAGGGATGGGGTGGGACGGGGGAAGGGAGAGGGCATCACAAACTGAATGAGTTGCGCCCCCTCTCTTACGAGCCATCGATCTGAATGCCAGGCAGGAACAGCATCCAGGCTGCGCGTGGGACTACCCATCGAGGTTGTGATGTAGATGATGGCTGATATATTTATCTCTCGCTGTTAGCCCTTGTTGTAATTTGGTAATATGTGATTGCTCTCCCCAGCAGCCTCTTACAATACTTTCACACAAATTTCATTCCTCAGCCTGAAATACACCTTACCTCTCTGTCACCAGACTCCAGTCTCATGACTACTCTGATCTGTAGAAACCTAGAGTGTTGGAACCGTAGATATAAACCGAGCGCTATTCAGGGGTTATTCTTTTACAGGTTCTAACCTTGATGGGTTTTTTTTCAGTGTGTTGCATTCTTCATGTTTGTTTCTCTCCAGGCACATTTGCTTACACAGAGCAGCGGCTCCCAGTCTGTAACCAGCCAATAATAATAATTAATAATGCTTGCTTTTGAAATGTTTCCCATAACTTCTTAAATTGCTGCGTTGGTATTTTCTGCCAAGAGCAGCGAACGTCTATTTGTACAAGCGGCAGCGAATTTGCCAAAAATCTGATCCCAATAACAGTCATGAAAGGATTGGGTTTCATTTCAATGGTTTAAATCTGGAGAGTAATAATAAATAATAATAATCCTTGCGTTTGATATAGCGCTTTTCACGTCTTCTAGACGACTCAAAGGGCAGAGTGTGTTGGCCAGGACATCGGGAGACAATACCTCTCTTTTCAAATGATGTCACACAATCTTCAGCAGGCAGGATGACAACAACAACAACAACAAAATTACATTTGTATAGCGCGTTTCAAGTCAGGAGGACGTCCCAAGGCGCTGGACAGTCATGGATTCTCAATTTAAGCATCTCCGACAATGCAGTGTTCCCCCTCCACCCACCCGCTTCCCTGGCACTGACTGAGCTGGAGTGTTGGCCTGGATTCCAGCTGAACATTTAGGGCTAAAATTACTTCATTGGTCTTTGCCTTTTGTGACACTCCTTTTTGTTCTTCACAGGCTGCCTTGCTGGCTCTCCAGGAGAGTGAACTACAAGCTACTGCTGTCAACCGCAGACACTTCCTAACCTCTCTTGAGAGTTTTAAACCCACTTTGACTGATGGGCACCTGGATTTCTATTGCAGTTTATTTTCCAGCAAGAGAACCATTGCTGAGTAATTAACACGTAGACACTCTATGATGACTTCGCGTGGTGTCTCTAATGCACGGTTGTATCTTCCGCAAGTGACAACCCTACTGAAGAATTTTGACTTGGCTGTGAACATAAGACACCTGTGATTTTACATTGAAGTGGACAAAAAGGCTCCGTGTGTCCTTGTAGTATTAGAGGACAGAGATTTTTTGGGTAAAAGTATTACTCTCAGAATGGGTTCAGAGGAGTGGTGAACATACAATACAAAATTACATTTGTACAGCACCTTTCACGTCGGGACGATACAGACACATGCACACGCACACAGACTCAATGGGAGCAGAAAAGAGTGGAAACTGAAAAGGATTGGGTAGCACAGAGCAGTGGTTTCTTGCGGCTATTTGTGCATCAGACACTCCAGTGCAGTGCTGGGTGGGTTTTGCATTGTCAGAGATGCCGTCCTTAGGATGAAACATTAAATCAAAATACTGTCTGTGCCTGTTCAGGTGCACGTTAAAGATCCCATGGCTTTATTCAAAAAGAGAAAGGGTTTCCTTGGCCAACAATCCCCCGATTAAAATTAGTCACTCTTTTTGCGGGACATGGCTGTGAGTAAATCGGGTGCCAGGTCAGCTTACAGATACAAAATAACTGCACTTTTACAGTGTCTCCTTTAAAGTGCTTTGATACGCTTTTTCTCCCAATGTGAAAGGTGGTATATCAAACGTGAGGATTATTTTGTTTTTAGTAGAAACCCTCCCTTTACCTCTGGCTACTCTCTCTCTCTTTCTCTCTCATATCTTGTACTTTTGTGTTTGTTGCTCAATGCAGTCCTCGTAGTTTCTGATGTGGGCTGGGGTGAGAGCCTTTGTTCTCATGTTTATCCAGATAAAAAACAGATTTCTGTAAAATATGCCTGTTACATTGCTGCAGGCACATCTGCTTGTACTGTAACAAGACAGACTTGTACCTTTGAGACGCACGTTTTCAGGAATGTGTTCACCACGCAGGCAGCTGATTCCTGTGACCAAAGCGATTCCAGTCGAGAAATAATTTTCTTTTTTGCCTTTGAACCTTCCTAACTTTGATTAGTTAATATAATAATCCTTACATATGATGTAGCGCCTCCTATGTAATTTGGTCACTCAATCCATGACTGTTTGTGGGACATCGCTGTGGCCGCATTTCACCCCCTAAAATACACAGTCAATTCACTTCACAGTATATTGTGTGAAGAGCTTTGAGATGTCTCAACGTCCAAAGTTGTCTGTCTATCCCAAGCATACTACACTCAGCATACATCATGACCCAAATACTGCATCCCATTCTTCAATAAAGGTAAGAGGACAGTTTTATAGCTCAGTTGATGTTTGCTTAATTGGTTCCGTGACCTTGATCTGAACGTGTGTGATCAGTGACTGGCCCAAGGACAGAGTTCCCATGAAGACGTGTTCTCTGGTCTAAGCCATAGACACCTGGGTGTCTGTCTGTCTGTCTTTGCCTGACTTACACAGGAAGCTACATGTTCGTATTGCACAGTGGAGTGCCCAGACAGAGAACCCTATGATTGATTTGAGGATATTTATACACACGCTGCAAGTGATTTATACGAAGAAAAGCAGTCAGTTTCATTTTCTTTAAAATGCCAGCACGTCTTGCTTTTATAACCAAATGACAAAATGATAGATGAAGTTTCACAATATAATTTGCAAAGGAAATGACCCTTATGAGCGTCATAAGGGTCAATTTAATCCAAAGGGCAGTTTTCAATCGTTCTTAAAGGTAAACGAGTAGGATATACCATATATATATAATAATATTCATATAATGTGCGGTGTAAGTTTAATATGCCCTTTCCCTTCACTAGATTGGCTTTTTTTTAAAATGGTAGTTTGTGTATCTTTCCATTTTTTTTTAAAACTTGTACTCCAAGCCCATTGTTTTTCCTGTATCATCATATATATGTATATATAGTAACCACTGCGTATCAGTTAACGTGTCCATAAATGGGCTAAATTCTGCGCGTTAAGATTGACCTCGATTCAGTGATACGCATTGCTTTGGAAATCGGTGCTAAATAAAACTCTGCCTTTTTAACCAAAATCCCTCCCCAAAAAAAAAACAATAATAAATTGGTCATTTTCAATCTACGACTGTTTGTGGGACATTGCTGTGCGCAATTGGCCGCCGCGTTCGCCCACAAATATACAGTCAATTCACTTTACAGTGTGTTCTGTGAAGCGCTTTGGGGCGTCCTCCCGACGTGAAAAATCCAATGCAAGGATTATTATTATTAAAACGAAGCGAGGTGAGGGTATTTTTGGGGTGGGGGGGGGGGGCGAAAGAAGTAGAAAGAAGCCCTCTAGAAAAAGGGGAAACGTTTTGGCCCACGACTGCTTGCGGGTCACTGCTGCGCGCAATCGGCTGCCGCGTGTCGCCCGCGAAATATCAAAACGTATCAAATGCAAGGATTATGATTATTATTATTATTATTATGTACTCTGTGTATGTGTGTGTGTGTGTATCTGAGTCGCCTCACCCACTGGGTCTGTTATTGTACGATTCCAAGCACGTCCAGCAGGAGGCAGAGTGACTGCACAGCACAAGGCAACATTCATTGATAAAACTCAGGCTTTGTGTGTGTGTGCGTTTGAGGATCTTTGTACAGTATCGATATTAATAAACACTGTTTTCAGTGGCTGTGAAGTGTCTCGACTACGTGACTTGCAACACGTCCCACCCAAGGCTGATATAACCTATAAATATCAGAATCAGGAAGCACAGCTCAAGGTTGTCATCTGAGAGAGAGAGAGAGAGAGAGAGGTGAGAGCTACACAACCGAAGTCACATTTATTTACATCGGGACCGAATTGGTTCAAGATAATTACAGTTTTCTTTTTTGCTTTTAAGTTCTTTCTTTCGCTGGACGAACAGAACAGAAGTTTGATGCTTCAAGTGATCATTTCTTTCGGGATTCTTTAGGATTTTTTTTTTTTTTTTTTGCATCACCTGGACATTTTGTGCTCACATAAAGATGACTGGTATATTTCAAATGATCATGAAGAAGAAAGAGGTAAGGGACTATTTAGAATTTTTCATTTGTTCCCTATTTTTTAAGTGTCTCCAAGTTTGCATTGATATTCTTTCTGTCTGTTTAATGCAATGACAAGGAAATGTATTCTGTCAACTGAAAGTTTCTCTGAATGCACCTGTGGAATCGAATGGGGATTTCTACATGTTTTGATAAAATTAGATGGTTAACATATAGATATATATGTATATATCGAGAGAGAGAATAAAACAGGTTGTTGTTTTTCACAGAGCTGACCCAAGAGAATATCACCTAAAACTGGGACTGGCTCTTTAATACAGGGGACCCAACACTTAAAAATAGCGGAAAACGACTCAAAATTACCTGGAACTGCAGTAGATATGAGTTAAATTACCATTTTTTTAAAAAATTATATTTTTTAAAATTATCTGTAAAATATTTAAATATGTTTGAAAATATCTACCGTGTTCGCAGATATCTTCCAAAATAATATCAACCAAGTGATAAGGCTCTGTGTTGAATGCAAGGCTTATTATTAATAATATTATTCATAATGAATCAGTAGTATGGATTAATAATAATCATTGGTGATTATTGTTGTTATTATTATTCCGCGGTTCTCGGCTGTTTTGAGTCGTTTTCCGCTGTTAGGGATTTAATAATAAATTGACTACAAGTTTATTAAATAATAATAATAGATCTGAAACTTTGCGGCCGAATGGCCTCTTTTTGTGCTGTACGATTCTATGATGGGTAAAAGCAAGCCCTGCACTCTGCTGCATGGATGGTCATTGACAGCCTGGGATCAAGGATCAGGGGGTCAGTGGTCGACAGTGATTTGTGTGTGTGGGAGAGAGAGGGTGAGACCGGTGGCTGCTGTGGGACTAACTGGATGCCTCTGACCCTCTCTGTCTCTCTCGCAGCTCATCCCTATAGTCGGGCTGATGCTCTGTGCGGCCACGGGAGCCACTTCCACCGCCATCTACTTCCTTCTGACCAAGAGCGATGTCATGTAAGAGCCGTTTTCATGAATTGTAATTGATACCCAATAAATTAATCCACAATAAACTAATGCACAATAAATAATACCCAATAAACTAATGAACAATAAACTAATGAACAATAAACTAATACCCAATAAACCAATACCCAATAAACTAATCCACAATAAACTAATCCACAATAAACTAATACCCGATTAACTAATAACCAACAAACTAATACCCAATAAACTAATACACACTAAATAATATACAATAAGTAATACTTTAATAAACTAATGTACAATAAATTGAAACACTCGCCTATCGATCACACTTGTTGCCACTTATACTACAAATTGATCCAGTTTTCTTTGTTACTTTAGTTATCTAGCAATCACCCCCTCCGCCTCTCCCTCCCCCACCTACGGACACAAGTCCAATATTTCCCAGTTCCGGGTAGGGCGGGTCCACAACTAACTAATGTTTTTTTCATTTGCATTTTGCGCATGTTTTTGTAAGACCTTTTTGCCACATGAACTTCCCAGAGCACAGAATTCTTTTTCTCGCTCCAACCCCCCCCCCAAATTGCCAACTGTGATGGATTAATAATCATCACCCCAATCACTGCCAATTCTCGGGATTATAAATTGCAATATTTATTTACTCAGAAATGATACGATTGTGTTTTTCTCTCTTTTTCATATAATAATAAAAACAGTTTTTGCTCTTGTCTCAGAATCGATAAAAGAAATAATCCAACTCCATGGGAGAATATCGATCCAACCAAACCTCAGAAGGTACTGACTGCCACATTCACTTACAAATACACAGTCACTACAACAACAACAATAACTTGCATTTACACAGCACCCTTCATGTGGGGCAGTGTTCTGGAGCGCTTAACAGTGAAAGAGCCTAACCCTGAGACAGGGAGATAGGGGAGGTGACCACGGTTGAAGAGGAAGGTCTTCAGTAGTGATCTAAAAGAGGGGAAGGAGCGGGCAAGGCAGAGGAAGGATTGGGGGAAGAGTTCCAAAGCTTCAGGGCGCTGAGGGCACGAGGGATGAGCAGGAGACCAGAACCAGGCGAGGCAACGGGTAAGTGGAGTGGGGACAAAGCGGTCAAAGAAGAGCCAGGGAGTGAAGGGGTTTATAGACGAGTCACTACACTTCACAGTAAAGTCCTTGTGGATCTGTGCATCGCAGGAAGCCTTGCATTATTTATACATGTTTTTGTTTCTTCGATCTGTCGATTGTCAGGGAAACTATCGCTGTGCAATCAGTTACCTGACTCGCCCCACCCCTGGGTGTTTGCAGGATGATTAAAAATTAATGGAAAAAAAACCTTGGGTGCCTCGCTGCCCGTCATTTGTCTCTCGCCTCTTAAAGGGAAATCGTCAGAATTGCCCATTTTCTCTCCAGCAGGTGTGTAATTGGTTTTCCCCTTGGGGCCCACCATTTGTTCTGTTGTGTGTAAACATCACCTGCAGCAGGCGAACAAGATAGTATCAGACTACATAAGGATACGAGGAATTAAAGGGAAGATTGGAGGGGACAAACAAATCTTTAGGCAGAGGTAGTTGGAATATGGAACTCTGTTACACGATGACTGAAACAACTTCCATCTTTTCTATATGTAAAAAAGATAATAATAATAATTTTGTCATTCAATTTGACATCTGTTTGTGAGACGCCGCTGTGCACAATTGGCTGCTGCGTTTCACCCACGTTTTATACAGTCAATTCACTTTACAATATATTCTGTGAAGTGCTCTGAGACGTCTCAACGACATGATAAGGCGTTATATCAAATGCAAGGATTATTATCATTATTATTTTAAAAGGGAATTTGCTAGACTTCTGAAAGGAGAGGTGTTTAAAAAGCGCCCGGTGTGGAGGGCACTACATAAATGCAAGTTGTTGTTTTGTTGTATATTAAACAGCATGGGCGGAGGGTGTGGGAGAAATCAGAGGCACAGACATGATGGGCCAAATGGGATTGTTGTCTATGATCCTGTACTATATGCCTGTGTGTTGGTTGAGAAGCCGAATGAGCCTTTCCCTTGTGTGTCTTGTTCTCCCACAGCTCAGGACCATCAGCCAGGAGTGGAGGCCTTTGGAAGAGCTGGAGATGCTGAAGAAATACAAGTGAGCGAGTGACCTTGCTCCTTGACTTGGCGCCTATCAATCTCCCGGAATCATTTCTGCACAAACTCGGTACTGGAACAGTGTGCGGAAATGCTTCTGGTACATTTTTAGGACTTTATCCCAAGAGCTTCATTCATCCTTCTCAGTCTTAATTTCCCCTTGGATCCAATGCCAGTGGCTTCGCTCCACAGTTAAAGCACGTTGTCTCGTGGACCAATGGGTTCTCTCTGATGATAAAAACACGTTTCAAAAGGAAGTGTCTTGTTTGTGGAAGATTAAATGGAAGATTTAACACTGTTACAAAGTGTATAAGTTCTTACATGCTGTAAAAAAAATGACATATATGTATATATGAGAGACATAGACCTCTGTTATTAAACTTGAAAATTTAATTTAAAATGTTTGTTTTCCATTAAATGTTTTCATTTAAGGTTGGCGATTCATCTCAAGACATTGCTGTGCACAAATCATCTGCTGCACTTGCCTATAAATACAGAGCTATTTACAATGACTACAAATTACAGCTCTCAGAAACATCTCAAAGTTCATGATAAGGCCCTGAATCAACATTCAAGGATTATTATTGTTGTCATCTCATTCTGCATTGCAGAAATTGCAAGACTTTGAGCTCGGAGACAATTTGGAGTCAATCTGTTCATTTGATAATGCAAACAGTATGAATTAAGAGGAAATGAGAAAATTGACTTTTGCAATGAGGTCACACTTCCTCTGGCTTAATGGTTGTCAGTTCAGAAATCAGTCTGATCCTGGCTCCTGCTGTGGAGGATGTGCTAATAGATGTGGAAGGTACGTGGCCAATTTCTGCCTGGACTCATGGTTTCAGTGGGTTCGTATGTCTATTTGAATCTGATCAGAATACAAGCAAATGACTAATGTGTCCTCAGGTGACACTCGACCAAACCTTTTTCCCCACCCCTCAATTCCTTGGCCACTCCATATCTCTGGACAATTCTTTCAGTGTTTAGTTAATCTTCAGTAGATGATCGAAGGCACGGTCAAAGAGGAAGGTCTTCAGACGGGTATTGAAGGAAGCAATGGAGGGGGTGAGGTAGAGAGCCACTGGGATGGAGTTACAGAGGGTACGGGCAGAAAGGCTGAAGGCTCCACCGCCGATGGTGGGGCGGGCAGGGCAGGGCGGGTCGGGGGACGTGGAGCAGGCCAGTGCCTGCCGAGCGGACAGGTCGGAAAAAGTTTTAGTAGGTCGCAGAGGTAGGTAGGAACAAAACTATGGAGGACTTCAAAATTGACGAGAGGATCTTGAACTCAATCACACACCAACACTCCTCAGACCTGTCCCAGCAAAATTTCGCAACAAAATTTTTGCCGACTCATACCAATTCTGCATTTTTTTAATAACAGGGTGTGGTTAAGGCCGGCCTGGCTGCTGGTAAACGAGAGTTTAAAAGGTGAACCAACCACCAAACAAATAGTCTGGAAAGTGCATCACATTGCAGAAGTCTGGAATTTCCACAAATGACTCACTGAGCCATATGCTGTCGCACTGCAATAATTTCAGGCAAAAACATTCCTGCTTCTTAGCACAACCCACTGGTATAATTCTATTTCATTCCCATCTGTAGGAATGACTCAAGGTCCTAAGCTTAAAGTGATTAATAAACCAAAGAGAAAGAGGGAGAAGATATTTTTTCTTGCACACAGAGGATTATTAGATCATGGAACGCCCTGCTAAAATATAAGGTTGGAGCAGAAATCCATCACAGCTCTTAAAAGGGGAAATGTATGAAAACAAATATATGTACACATACAAGGGACTAAATGGGTTAAAGGTGAGTTGGAATAAATGAGAAGCTTTGTCACAGGGCCCTCATAGCCTCAAGCAACCAGGCAGCTTCCTTATCGCCTGTAAAATTATTTGGTTCTAGTCTCTGGAATGCATTGCTTTGCACCCTACCTATAGCCCGGAGCAGAAAACTGACTGAGGATGGTCATGGGAGCAGAGATGGTTCAAGTCTCTTGTTTCTAACCCCCACTTCTTCCCAGCTCTTCTTGCTCCTGAATTGTTGTCCTTCCTTCTTGGACTCTCAGTTGAGACTCAGCAAGAGGGAAGAAGGAACAAATCCCATTTAATATATTAAGGTGTTGTCAAAAAATTGAGTAGGTGTTGGGTCAGCAACATGTTGCACAGAATGGATATGGATGGGGCTGATTAAAAGGGATTAAGTGAATTAGACACAAATCTTGTTGATTAGTTTGAGATCTGCCCTGTGAATAATCCAGCAACAGGCTTGTCTTTTGCCAAAGGGCTGCAGAAGTAGAAAGTAGTTTTACATAAAAATAGTGCGGCTCGCAATCTCTCTGTCTCTCTGTCCTATGTTTTCAGAGCTGTGAAACCACCATAAACTGACAAGAGTCTGAGACCCAGAGTGCAGCACACTTGATGTCTTGGCCACAAAAATAGTAATAATCCGTGCATTTGATACAGCGCCTTATAACGTCGTTGAGACATCTCAAAGTGCTTCACGGAATAGACTGTAAAGTGAATTGACTGTGTATTTGGTGGGCAAAACCCAAGATATACAGTCAATCCACTTCAGAGTATATCCACCAGTATATCTACAAAAAAGTCCCCAATGGAGACCAGGGAACTAGATGTGCCAGTGTATAGATTAACCGGCAACACGAGACAACACCCAGGGAGCAGCAACGGGAAAGGCTGCTCTTTGTTATGTAACTTTCTCATTCCTCAGGCACCAGCCTTGCACAACACGGTGATAGTCTGAAGGTCATTATTCTGTACTGAAAGGTGTATGCGTGGGCGAGTGCTTCCCTCAGTATATCTGCAGATCTCTGTCTGTCACGAGACGTGGGTGGAGCAAAGTATATCAATTTCTGGTAATGGCTGGTTAGAAGCCAGTAACATATTCATGGCGTCACTGTTACTGCATTTCGAAACCAATCTATCATCTGAACTCAACCCTGCTCTGTAGTAAACTACGGAGATACTTTCACTCTACATAGATGTATGGACCTCAATATGCACATAGTGGGACACAGGTAGAAACGTGGACATTTTCTGCACAGATGGGAATATCAATTTGATCCACTGCGTCCGTGTCACTGCTCTCCTTTTTTCTTAATCACCGTATTTTAATATTGCGATGACGATTTAATAATAATAAAAATCATCGCGACGCCTCAAAAGCGCTTCACAGAATATATTGCAATATGGAGTGACTGGGTGTTTTGTGGGTCAAAATGTACATTTGTATAGTGCCTTTCACGTAGGGAGGGTGTCTCAAAGCACTCCACACAGCTGCCCGGGAGCCCCAACTGTGGGTAACCCCATTTTCCAGCCCTTTCCCCATATCCCTTTACTTAATGGTTCTGCTGCACAGTTGCTTATCCAGTTCCTTACTGATCCAACCTCAACATCCACGCACAGTTTCATGTGTTTATGTGCTGCTGAGGATTGCACCATGAACCAGAACACGTAAGATTCCTTTACGGAAAACTTGCGTAAACTTTCTGAGGTTTGGGTCAAGCATTCTCACGCTGGGCTGCACTGTGAGATCAGATTGGAAATGTTTATCTGTGGAAAGGATTAAAGCACAGCCTCTGTGTTAAAGGCTCGAGAGCACAATTCTCGGAAATGCTGTGAAACCCTGGCTTGAGCCCCAAACCACATACACAGGAAGGGACACACACCCCTCCAACTCGGATAAGCCTGCTAGAGAGGTTTACAGAACAGCGGTTAGCGGGCAGTTTAATGAGAACCACTCATCCCTGCATCACACCAAATGACTTGGACTTTTCTGGGTCTTTGGAAGGAGAGAGCATTGCTCAGTGTTGTGGCGCTATCTGCTGGCAGCTCTTCGGACTGCAGATACTCACCTTTATTTGGTGACAGAATATTTATTATTGGTTTCCAGAGCATCATCATAATAATAATAATAATAATCCTTGCATTTGATAAGTCACAAAAACTGAATAATTCATATACCCTGCCTGTTCAGGCGCTCGGTAATACACTATTGGAATACAGAAGGGAGTTTATTATCATTCGTTCATTTCATGCCAAAAGATCTGTCCTTGGTCTGATCTGAATATTCACCACAAATGGAGAATCTTCTACAACAGCAAAAGCTTACCCAACTTCAATCAACAACAACTTGCATTTGTATAATGCCCCTGATGCAGGGTAGGATCCTAGAGCGCTTGTAATTAAACCATCACATTTACAGTTCACCAGTTCACCCCCGTAAAATTTGTGGTCATCCAAAGAAATGCACTGGCTATAAAAAGGTGTCAGCAATGTTACTATGGTGTCAAGTACTGTAATAGGTTGTGCGTTTCATATGATTTGCACCATGAGTTCACTCTTGACCATGTGATAAGGCGCAAAATCAAATGCAAGGATTAGAAGGATTACTATTGACCAGCGAACGTGGGAAGAACATTAAAAACCCAGGAAAATATAGAGATTCCAGGATTTCCTTTTCTCTCAGCCCTCCGAAAGTAACAAAACTTGTAGCAATAAACTCCTTTTTCTTATAATAAAAAATTATCTTAATGCATATCTTGTTTGGAATGGGGTTAAACACCATAAAGATAGGCTGAGTTGATTGCATGCTCTATGGCACACAATTGTTCGGGTGCGGGTGTGAAATGTTATCTGTAGAAAGGATTAATCAGAAACGTGCTTTTTTTACATCGCCTTCTCACATTGAAAAGCAGTTCACAGGTAATGATTGTTTTAATAGGTGAATGCAGTAGCCAGTTGAACCAGCAAAGTTCCCCCAAAGCAACCATAAAGTGAACCATCAATTAAACTGGAGGATTGTTGGCTCAGAGCCCTTTCTCCTTTCATATAGTGTCAGGGCATCTTTAATGATAATTCTTATATCTGATATAGGGTCTCATCAAGTCTTCAAAATGTCCAAACAAGTTTGGGGGAAAAAGCAAGAAATTGTGATTTGATTAGATAGGGGCTGTAGAGAGGTTTGAGTGAGTTTTGATTTCGCTCAAACTCCCATTCCCATTGTAATTCTAAGATTAAAGGAACATTCTGTTCACACTGAGACATTGCTATAAAGAAGCTTTGAGCAAGTTAATTCACTCGTGCTGCATGAGAGCATAAGGGTCAGGGAAAAGTTACAGCGCAGCAATTACTGAATTAAGACCAAAGACCGAGCTAGAGACTGACCTTCTCCGCAGCTAGTTACCACTTGAGGCCGGGGATAATGAAGAAATGAAGCTTTGTGTGAGCACTGATCCCCAGTGCTGTGTTGAGCTCAAGGTTTTGACCAAGAAAACAGCTAATGATAAACAGGCTCTGTTCAGCCATAAGACGGGGTCAATCGCATCTGCATACATTGCATTTGGCTTTAGAATTCTCTCAGCAATAACAGAGGATGTGAATGCAAGATGATGAATCACAGAGTCTCCAGATCTGGTGATAGCCAGCAGCAGTCTCTCATTATATACAGTGGACTGGACCAATGCATAAACTGGACCTCAGAGCCATATAGAGTTATCCAAACCAAGAAAGATGGGTCTACCATAGAGGCAGATTGACACATCTAGGCCATGATTAGCCCATCTGACGAGGTTGTGTTGGTCTCTACAGGTACCAAAGCCTCTGGTGAGGATACAGACATTTGACCCAAATCTGTTCAGTCTCTAAACCATTACCTACACATTTCAGATCATTGCAGAATCTTGGCAAATTCTTAAATTTGGCAGCCGGTTTCTGCAGATCTTAAATAAGAACAGCAGGAAAACTAGTTTCAGAGTTAATACCAAAGAGAGTTAAGAAATTTGCCAAAATTTGCTGCACGAGCTGAAATTTTAAGACAATTTTCTTAAGGCTAAAACCAGACCCCCAATGTACAAGGCACTCGGGGAATATGTTAGTGGATTAATGAAATGTGTTTGATTATGTGCCGAGGGCAATGAGCTGCAATTAAACAACATACATTGCAAGAATGTTTCAGTCAGGAGAGGATCATTGGTCCATCTTGCCTTCCCATCCATCTTCCCCCACCCCCCGCCCCCCCAAAAAATCTTAGAACCATCTACTACTTTGTCATCTGGTAACCTTGAAACCTTCTAATTTCCAGGAATCTGTCTGGTTCATTTCTAAAAGCCTTTTATAGTTCCTCATTCCACCACCTGTGCTGGTGATTTGCTCCACATGCCAATGGGTGTGAGAGCACAGTACATTCTGGTGCGAAGCTTGGCTGATTTTCCATTGTTTAACCTCACGTTGAGAACATAAAACACAATAAGATCATTCAGCTGATCAAGCCCAATGCTTCTTATTAAAGCAATATCCACTCTGTAATTCGCTGCACCCACTCTATCCCCTGGGGGAAAAAGTACCATAATGTGTCAATACTCCCTGATCCTCAGAAGTTAATGAAGCACAAAATCCAGAACTTTCACCATTGAACACTAATTTTTTTAAAAAATCCATAGCCCTAGCAGCACAGGTATCAGTCTACAATAAAGCAGGTGTTCATATCCCTGTGAGGTCTGATGTTTTCTACTTATCCAGTTCTCCTTGGGACCGAAGTCTCTTGAGTCAGAAACATGGGATTCTTTGCTGAAAATGTATGTTGTCATAAGATGCTTCTACTGTACCAAGCTCATGAGGAATAATCAGACAAACTACGGGTCTTCAGCCTTGAAAGAAGATATCTCAGAGAGGACCATGTAAAAGTGTATAAGATTGTAAATGGAACTGGGAAAGTAACCTCAGAACACATTCGGGTGCATTTGGATAGCAGAACAATAGAACACAGGATTGAGGCGGCAAAGGACAATTTCAGAAACTATTTCCGCACCAAAAGGGTAGTTAATGACTGGCATAGATTACAAGGAAGATTGTTTGAGCCCAGGATGTTGAGCTTGTCTTAACAGAAAGAGCTAGAAACTGTGATGGGAGGTAGGGGAATGGGTATTCTGGAAGGCCGAGATCAAATGGACCGAAGTGACTGCTTCATCTGAACCTTGCTTGTGATCATTTTGTATTTTTATATAATAATAATAATATTGTTAATCATATTGTGATTATAGCAATGGAAACAGTAGCACAGACACACTCACACACACACAGAATAATAGTTATGATGAAAGATTTGTAGCCACTCAAATTACGCCTTTTGTAATAACTAGTTTTGCCACGTCTCACTGAAACGTATCAAAAAGATAACAAGCTACAGGAGGAAACTGTGCAACACACATTTAATTGAGCAAATAGGGAGAAAAAAAATGAAACGTTACAAATGAAGACCGTTTGCTGGTACAAATAGGACAGGACATGATATGACAGAAAGATCAATGGAAGTATTATCACACTGCCCCACTGAACAAAATCCTTCAAAATTCAACGTCCTAAATTTAAAGTGAAACAGAATGGATCTCGTTAATCATCATATGAGCCAGACCGTCAAGCCTCCGCATCCCCAAATTCCTCACGGCCTTTGACTTAAGACCACTGTCTTAAAATTGAAGATCGTTCCAGAATTTCGGAAAGGTCTCTTAAAAATGACTGCGGAAAATTGGCTTCCAAATTAAGATTGAATTTCAGAATTTTCCAAACTTCCACACAGTCCTCAAATTTTTAAGCCAACATTTTTAACTTGCATTTGTATAGCGCTCCTCACCCGAGGTAGCGTCTCAGAGCGACAACCAATGGTCTGAAGGCTACAGCCAATTTCAAGCCTTCGATTATCACCCTTTAATGCACAAAGCACTGAGGACAAACAGGTGCAGAATGGCAATTAGAACGAGTGCAGAATGGATTCAGAAGGAAGACTGATAAAACGGTTGTAAGGTTTAACACTGACATCAGTGGAATGGACATAGAGAGAGCAATAAACACCAGTGCAATCAATCATTAATTGACTGTGACAAAGGTTACGAGTCCGAATCTATTTTGTTAAACGGAGAGAAATAGTTAACTGAAAATCATTTAGTGCCTCTTAACAAAATTGAATGACGCACATTATAAAAAGCAAGCTACATGGGTGGAAGTGAAAGGTACCCTATTATGTACTAGCGTCTTAAAAGAGGAACGAGGGGAAGGAGGACTCGCCTCCAATATCCCCTCAATAAAATTACATATATTCATATCCTAAATATCATATACATTACAATTATATATCACTGAATATTAATATATGTATATAGGAATGGATTAAGATAGGACTCTGCCTCTGAGTCAGAAAGTTGTGTGTTTGAGCTCACAGTCTAGGCTGATACTCCGATACAGGACTGGGGTTATGCTGCAGTATTAGAGGTGCCATCCTTCGGATGAGAAGTTAAATTAAGGTTCTAAATGCCTGTTCCAGTGGGCGTTAAAAATCCCATGGCACTATTTGAAAAGAGTAGGTAGTTCCTCCCGGTGTCCTGACCAACAATCCCCCAAATAAAATTGGTGCTGTGTGCTAGTTGGATGCCGCATTCATCTACAAATACACTTCATGGTAAAATAAGGTGACTCACTTTGAGAAGTCTCAACGATGCGATAAACACTATATAAAATGCACAGATTATTATTATAATATAATAAAGAAGCAACTTGAATGGATGTGTCTTACATAATATTCACAATGATTAAGGCTAGGTAAACCTGTTCGGGTTATAACCTTATTGAACACAGTCCTAAATGTAGCTTATCCCCTGTGTTTGGCACTTAAAAATCTGTGTCATTAATCGTAGCTAAGAGGAAGCAGAGTCTGTCAGCTTCACCTTTAGAAGACCCAGTGAATGTGTAAGATGTTGACCACGATCACCAGAAACAATTGAACTTAGAACCATAGAATCTTACAGCACAGAAGGAGGCCATTCAGCCCATCGTGCCTGTGCTGGCTCTTTGAAAGAGCTACCAATTGGTCCCACTCTCCCGTTCCTACCCCAGAGCCCTGCAATTTTTCCTTTTCAAATACCTCTCCAATTCCCTTTTGAAAGCTACTATCAAATCTGCTTCCACCACCTTTTCAGGCAGTGGGCTCCAGACCGTAACAACTCTCTGGGTAAAAAAAAATTCTCCTCCCCTCCCTTCTAGTTCTTTTGCTAATTATCTTGAATCTGTGTCCTCTGCTTACTGATCCACCCGCCAGAGGAAACAGTTCTTAAATGATAGTATTTAAGAAATGCTTCACTTTAGCTGGAGGCCACAGGTCCTAATCACTCCGATATTCTGCTGAATTAACATCATGCTTGTCTCAAAACTCAAGTAAACAAGATCACAAGATTCGGATGAAAAAAGGGCCCAGGAACAGTAAATGTCTTCACGGTTCCTCACTTGCTCAAGAAGTTGCTGTACAAGCAAAATGGCGGTGAAGTGCAAATGAAATTGGGGGGAAAAATACAAAAGAAAAAGTTCCGACCAACAACAACAACTTGCATTTATATATCACCCCTCACGCATATTTATGACACACGTGCGTTGACGTCGAAAGTCCTACGAGGCCACTTCTGAACAATTCTTGGAGGTAAAAAATATTGATCATATTGTTGGGGAACTGGCAATGGCCAACGATTTGCAGGTCTTTCAACCGAGAAAAGTCCAGCGTGAGCAGAATCGAGGAAGGAAAAATAATCCTCAGCCAAGAGAGAGCAGTCACGTAGTTTCCGTAGAGCAATGTAGTGTTTTCTGTTGTACAGCCATCTATTTGGTATTAGGTTTTGCTCTGACTTTATGATGGCTGGAGGCTGTTTGAGCAAACTGCAGGTATATATAAAAAGGATACTAGTCTTCGTGCTATTTGTTGACCCTCCAAAAGTTGTGAAATCAGATATTTTGATTGTCTGAAACCCTACATTTAGTGCAAAGATTGTTACCAACGTCTCTATAGCTTTGCAGCTGCACAGTGCATTGGTGCATCCCATAGGTGTTCATCAATATCTGTCGAGCCTTGCACTGAACCTCTTCCCAATTGGAGAAACTCTCTGGAACTGGATGAACAAAAAAGAGGTGGATTATACGTCTGTCACACACACTACAAAAAAAAAACAAGGAGAGTACAGGGGAGTCTTATGCACAGGCTTATTTGAACATGGAACTGATTGCTGAAACAGAATTCATAATAGCTGTAAAAATGAATTAAGACAAATATCTAAAAGGGATAAATATGAATAGAGATGCAAATAATAATAAATAACATTCCTTGCATTTGTTATATCACTGGGACACTCGGCTGTCTCGTTTTGCCCAAAAATACAGTCAATTCACTTATAATATATGATAATATATTCTATGAAGCGCTTTGGGACATTTCAACGACATGATAAGGCGCTGTATCAAATGCAAATATTATTATTATGACACCTTTCTCAGGTGCCAGGTCTAAGCTAGGATGGTGCTACGTTACCAAGTAACCAAGTTTAAAAGGCAGTGTGCATACCTAGCTTTAAGTGCACAATGGCTGCTGTTTTGCCCACAGTCAGAGACCAAACGTTTAGATCTTCGACAGAGTAAACATCCTCGATTTTTAGTAGATCTCCCGTATGCAATGGACGTCCAAATGACTCGGAGAACCTGTGGGCAGAACGTCAGAGACAGAAGCGTTAATGCATCCACAGCAGCAACTCTTAAGGTCTTTGTATATAAATTAGTGGCTATTAGACACTATAATAATCATTCCCCTGCATTTAGTGCAAACGTTGTCCACCATCTCACCATATAGCTTTGCAATTGCACAGTGATACAACGCCTTTCACATCGGAAAGACATCTCAAAATTATTCACATGCTATACTGTAAAGTGCAGTGACTGCATGTTTAAACAGCCACTATGTGCACAGTGCCGTTCCACAAACAGCCATAAAGTGAATGACCTTTATCAGACACGCTGTCTCTATAGGATTCTAGTCTCAATACTGCTCTTCCCTGTCCCCCAATTCTGGGTGTTGTCACTGTCTGAAAATAAATAATAAACAATTTTTAAATTTAAAATAAATCCCCTTACCTTCCAAGAAGATGATCCCAGTGTCCCGCAGGATTCGTAATGTTGTGCACAGCACGAGGAAAGAGAAGATGTAAGTACAGATTGGGTCAGCGATCTTGTACTCTGGCTGTGAAAGTCAAACCAAAACAGTGAAGATCGTTGAGGAGCAACCAGAACAGAGGCCGTGTGCTTGAACAAATCAATTTGTCAATTGTGTCAATAGGTAATAGAGGGGTATAGGAGAGGGAATAATACTAATCCTTGAATTTGATACAGCGCCTTATCACGTCGTCGAGACGTCTCAAAGCGCTTCACAGGGTATACTGTAAAGTGGAGTGAAATGCAACACGTACTTTAAATCGGATGATGTAAGCAGCGACCAGCACGCCAACACTCTGCAACAAGTCCCCCAGGGCGTGGATGAAAGCTGCTCTTACTGCCAAGCTGCCTGCGCTGTGATTGTGTCCGTGAGCACTCCCTTGACCTCCGCGCACAGTTTGTCCTGACAGCCCGTGCGAGTGCGAGTGAGAGTGAGAGTGCAAGTGACTTGACTGGTTGAGCAAAAAGCCCATTCTGTTACATCAGGAGAAATGGAAGCACACGAGAAGGGGGTGAAAAAGACTTGTACATTGAAACACATTGCCACTGCACTATACATTGCATACACCTTTCCCCACCCCCCCACCCCAGTCTGACAGTGGTACTAAGTGTCCAGCATCCAGAGGTTCTATGCCCAATTGGTCTAGAATCTTAAAGGTCTAGTTCAGTGGCGGCCAACCTTTATAAATGGTCATCAAAAGAATTTTTCTTGCCATAAATCAAGAAATATTCAATCAAGAAAAAATTGAAAACACACTAACGATCGAACACGATTTATCTAGACTCATGCGGCTATTGAGGGGTCACTTCTTGATGGCCGAATGGGCGACTTCTGGCCCGGGAGCCACTGTTTGGCTACCACTGGTCTAGTCATTCACTTATCTTCCATTCTGGGAAAAGTCTGTACTCTTCACTGTTCCGAGCAGAAATGACCCACCAAGGCTCTACCAGGTAGGTTGGTCCTAGCCGGCAAACAGTGGGAAGCTTGCCACTGTTCATTATTGCAAGCTACCTGGTTTTAGCTGGAAAAATTCTAGCATACTGTGAGGTCCCCAAGCTTTTGTCAAAACTGTGCCTAAACTGTCCAAAACTTAGACAAACAGGATGAATACATCTAGAGGGAGAGAGAGAGAGAGTGAGAGGAGTACACACTTCATACCAAACAAATGAAAAGCACTCATATGTGGAACCATCAGTATTTTGGTGATGAGTTTCTGCATGCATATGGGAACCAGCTGACCAAAAATAAATGCTCCATTTGTTGGTTCAAATCCAAGCACCTCAAAAAATCAAGGTGGTTGCATATACCAGGCCAAAAAACAAGCTCTAATGAGTAAACATACAGAGTCAGCAGCAGGAACGTTGGCAAACAAGCGAGAGGGGATTAAAGGATTAACTATAACATCAACGTACTGTATTCAAAAACTTGATGGAATTATTAACCCAAGATCCCCAAACAAAAATGTCAGGCTATTTTTAGGAGTGATTCTTCATCGTGAAACAAAGGTTAAACCAGTTGGGCTTGGAAGTTGTCTATCTCCAGACTCCGGTAATGGAGGTAATTTACTGGATGGGGTTATATCCTGCTCATCTCATCTTAATTATCTCCTGTTTCAGACTCTAACCTACTCAATAAGGCTCTACTCGGTTGCAGTTCGGATGCACAGGGCCATGAGTGCGGATTTCACATGCGCTGCCTGGTAACAATTAAGGATAAAAAGAAACTCGCTTAGGACACAGCACTCCATCCTGTCGCACATTAACTAAGCAGCAAAGAGCCTTTCATTCCGATTCAAGAGTATTTTTGACATTCAGACAACCAGAGTTTTTTTTGGCTCATCTTTAGTCGAGATACAGAGTAAAGTTAGCAGGTGGCTGTATTGCAACTATTTAACTCACGTATACTGTGCCACAAAGTAAGCCAGGAATTAGTCCTATTGGGAGTGACCAGAAAGTCCTTTTTACAGTAACATCACTAATTCCCTTTGCTGCATGACTCAGTTGCAACCTCACAGTGTCTACAGGATAGATCTTGGAGATTTTCAGTCATTTCTGATCACCGCACTTTCTTCCAGTAATTTGAAGCATGGATGGCTTCACATTTCTTTCAGTTGGCTCTGGATTAACATAAAGGCCTCTGAAGAAACCCATCTCACTCTGGATTAATATAAAGTGATCTCAGGAAACTCATCCCAAATTGGATTTGAAAAACCCTACCCCGCCATCAAATAAAGTGAGAGAGCACCAGACTTACATGATGTTAACTGCTACTCCGACCGCAGCTATGATGATCATCACGTCTGCATTGATCTCGAAATCTTGGTGTATCGTCCTCTGTATGGCTTCAAACACAAGCCAGACAGTCACACAGTAGATGAGAATAACACTGATGATGGCAGCCATAGCCTCTGGAGAACGAAAGGGAGGAATTTAGCCTTGGTCAATACAGCACACAACAACAACAACTTACATTTATAGTCATGATTTGTAGTCCTGATCAGTCATGATATGAAAGAGGTGAAGGAGGGGGCAAGGCAGAGGGATTAAGGGAGAGAGTTCCAAAGCTTCGGGGCGCAGTGGCTGAAAGCATGGCCGACAATGGTGGAGCGGAGGGAATGACGAGCACGCAGAAGGCTGGAGCCAGCCGAGCGGAGACAGCAGGCAGTGGAGTGGGGACTAAGCAGATTGAAGAGGTAGGAAGGTGCCAGGGCAAGACGAGTGAGAGTGATCTTGAAATTGATCTGTTCTGTGATTGGTAGCCAGTGGAGCTACATTAGTCCATGGCTCTTCTGGATTCAATATCAGATGACTAGTGAGCAACAAAGTCAGAAATATCTACGATTAGCCGCATACTAGCCGGATATTTTTTGTTGGATGAAACGTTGAGCTTGTGTTCTTTATTAACACCTTGCATTAGGTAATGTGGGATCATATTATTATTTATTATTATTATCATAAACAATGCAAGAAGCATCATTTATATATTACATAACTGTCTTGAACTCTCGCACACAGCTACCTGACAGTGATGTTGTATGAGTGGATGTTTGGGATTAACATGGACAGTTTAAGAACACACTAGTGGTGTAACCGCTGGCAATAATAATAATAATAATCCTTGCATTTGATATAACTCCTTATCAAATCATTGAGATGGCTTCACAGAATACACTGTAAAGCATAATGACTGTATTTTTTTGGGTGGAACACAGCAGCCAATTGTGCACAGCAGTGTCCCACAAACTGTCGTGGATTGAGTAACCACATTTTTTGTTGAGGAATTATTACCTCCCAACAGTGATCTACCAATCAACTAACAACCAGATACCTACTTGCTGCTAGGCGTGTGGAGTAAGGAAATTTGACTTAGGTTTCGCCCTGCCTGGAAATCGAACACGGGTCCTCTCGTTTACGAGGCGAGCACTCTAACCACTACGCTACAGGACTCCACAACTGCCAGCCCCCCACCCAGTCAAGGTGAGAATTTGTCCAAGAATCCCTGTAATTTGGGTAAAGTCACTCTGATGAAATCTCTGGTGCGAGCCGAGGTTTCACGACTTTGCGTGATACACAGGAGATTTCCTCGAGAAAATGGCCATCCTTCAAGGTGCCAATTTGTGGTATCCATAAGCAGTGTGGAAGTGAGTACTGTACATTTGCCGCTGACATCAAGCTTTGAGAACAATGTAGGGAAGACTGAAAAAAAACCCTGCACAAATTAAGCAGATGGACTGAGGACCGGAAGATGAAATTTTACAGGATCCGCCCAACTTTTGGGTACAAGAGGGAGTTTCCAGTTCAAAACATCACAGACGTGATCATTAGAAATATCCCCTGAAGACTTCGGATCAAGTCAAAGGCTTATGACAACCTGGTTTATCCAGGACTGGGAGTCATCTGAATGACATCGGTTTGCAAGTGAACAACAACAACCTTTTAAAATGGATCCTTGTTCCTGGTATAGCCTTAGTTTGGAACAAAAGCAACAAATTATATTTACCCAGTGCCCAAGGCCTGGACAGTCAGGGATTTGGACCCGAGCAGGGGGTTGGGATCAGGGGGGTTGGAATGCAGGGAGGGTACGGGTAGGAGGGTGACCGAAGGCGCGGTCGAAGAAGAGAGCCTTGAGACGTGCCTTGAAGGAGCCAATGGAGGGAGCAAGGCGAAGGGATAGTGGGATGGAGTTCCAAAGAGTAGGGGCTGAGAAGCTGAAGGCTCGACTGCCTAAGGTGGGGCGGGCCGGGCGGGGGACCTGGAGCAGGCCGTATCCTGCCGAGGGGAGAGGTAATATAGTTTTGGCGCAAATTTGCGTTTCATAACCGGATCCGGTGTCCCTAGCCTTGCAGCGCATGGCTTGGCACTCGGTTAAATATGGGTTAAAATAAGTGCGCATTCTCAACAGCTGTACACGGTAGATTTTCTGAACTGCGCGTGCAGCGAGGAGAGAAATCCATTTTCAGTTACTGTTTCACTATCAACGCACAGTGCAGGACAAAGATCTGACAGGGTCAGGTACAAAGTAACCACACTCAAAGTACAGATACAGCTCTTTGTTGGTTTACCGATTAGTGCAAAGCTTTGCAAACTGCAGCAATTGCTCACTGCGCATTTAATTACCAATAAACGAGCTGCCCTCTTAAACATTAAACCCAACAGTTACAGCAATGCATAGAGCACTGAAACACACCATTCACATAATTAAATATCTCAAATCTCTTCAGAGACAATGCTGTAGCCATGTGTCTGGACACATGCGGAAACCCACCCAAAACGCTGCAGTCAATTGCACACAGCGGTGTCCCACAAACACTCATGGATTGAGTGGCCAATATTTTTTTGAGGGATTATTACGCCCAGAAACCCAATACGCCAATCGACTAACAACCGTATTCCTACTTACTGCTAAGTAAACAGAGACGTGTGGAGGAAGTAAACACGCTTATGGTTTTATCTTACCAGGGAATTGAACTTGAGTCCTGTTGCTTGCAAGGCGAGCGCGCTAACCACTATGCTACAGAACTCCCTTGATAAAGCTCTAACGCTTATCACCCCTCACCTTCCTTTCCACATCCTTTGCCCTTTCTATATATTTTACTTTATCCCTTTCTATTACTATCCCAATGCTGTACCGCTCCATTTCTTTATCACCTGTTCAGAAATAAATGGTCAAAACTAGCTGAAGCATTTGCGAAATATCAAGCTGAACACTGTTGGATGTGGCAATAATCAGTATTGCTTTAAGAGCAGTCTTCCAGAAGGCAAATAGGGCTTTTAGTGAAATCAGTCAATGATTATTTTTCTCCCCAAGTTCTTTTCATTTTCAATATACTGGCTCAATGTGACACTAGAAAATCCACAATGTGTGCTGAGCTCTCACACTGGCCAATTAAACTCCATATGAAACATTGAAATTCAAATCGAAATGTTTGGTGGGGAAAAGAAATGAACGCACTTGTATTTTTGTGGCACTTTATCGCATCAAAGCCTCTCAAAGTATTTACAAAAAAAATAAGTTAACTGTCTTAGGCATTTTGTGCATAGCAAGGTAGGTTCCTCCCACAAACAACCACAAGGTCAATGTAGAGAAAGAGCTGTTGGCCAGGACACCAGGAGAAACTATTCCTGAATAGTGTTATACAATACTTAAAATCTACAGGTGGAGTTTAAAATCTCTTTCATAGAACACCACCTCCATCAACACAGCACTGCCTAGCACTGATTTACAGTATAAACTCAAGTCGGGGTTGAATCCATAACTTTTTCACTCAAAGGAGAAAGCGTTACCACTAAGCAGACACCTGTAATATCTCACCATTTATTGTTGTACAGTAATATGTTTGCATCCCACTAACTGCTGGGAATGTCATCACTGGCAGAAGTGCACTGACGAAACATCCATCGATGCTTCGAACCCTAAACCGAGTTGGTCAACGGCACCGAGCTTTTATACATGCAAAACACATCAACGGAATAAACCAAGTCATGATGACCACAATCTTAACGACCCCCAGCAGGTAAGGGTCACATACCAAACCGGTGCCAGCCAAAGGTAAACCGTTTGCTTGGAGACCTTCCAGAGAGGTATAGTGCGAAAAGAGAGGCAGCAATTCCAAGAACATCCGCCAGCATATGCACAGCATCAGTCATAACAGCCAGGCTATTGGAGAGAAAGCCACCTGTAGGAACACATTAAAGACCAACAAGAATGAACGCTTGGGAATGGTTACGAGGTTTTAACTGAGGGTTTCAGAACCATCAAATGTGCAGTTCAAAAGGAGTCGAAATCGCCCTTGCATTTTACATAGCACCTTATCACATCGTTGAGACGTCTCAAAGCGTTTCACAGAATAATATTGGAAAGTGGATTGACTGCGCATTTTGTGGGCGAACAATGTCACCCACTTGCGTACGGCAGTGTTCCACAAACAGTCGTTGATTGAGCGAGCAAATCATTTTTTTAATTATTATTATTATTATCCCCGAAAAGTGATTTGTAAGGAAACTTGCCTAAGGTTTCGCCCTGCCCGGGAATCAAACCCGGGTCCTCTCGCTTGCGAGGCGAGTGCTCTGAACAATACACTACGAGAATGCATTTACAGAATAATAGCCGTGGGGAGAGGACGATGGCACAAACTTAAATAACTAAATAATCCTTGCATTTGATATAGCGCCTTATCGCATCGTCGAGACATCCCATGGGCAAAACATGTGGACAGTTTGCGCACAGCAATGTCCCACAAACAAGTCAATCTTACCCTGTGACCAATTTTATCCTGATTTTAAGAAAATCGAAACTTGCATTCTGCAAAGCACAAAGAAGAAAAAAATTACCCAGGAACTCTCCGATGGTAAATAGAGCGTAGAGAGTTATGGCAATCCAGAGTTTCCTCTTCACGGTCCTTTGCCTCATCAACTCTCTAGTTTTAGTGCAACCATCGCATTTCTCCACCGCATCTGCTTTGGGGATCTGAAGCCCGGCTTGGGACTCGAAGGACAGCAAGCCGTCATAGGGCTGCTGCGGGTCTGGGTTCCCGACACTGGGCACGGAGCTCCCGTTACAAACCAGCGTGGGCACGTGGGCAATCTCGCTAAACATGTCGGAGGCGACCACTCGGAGTTGGTTGGCGTTGCCGAATTTGGGCAGGTCGTCCTCCTCCTCCACCATGTCATCGGAGAAATCCAGGGTGACCGTGTCACTGGTCAGATGACTCGTGCCATCGCCTTTGCGGAGATAGGACTTGAAGGTGTCCCAGGTGGATCTGGCCATGGTCATCCAAATGTCGGGATTTACAGGCTCGGAGAGCTTAGGGTTGATCGGAGCAGCTCCCGAGAATGTGCTCGCTTCCACCTGAAGTTCTCCTCCAATCTACTGACACTCCATTGCCTGAGAGACAAGACAATCATTAACCGCACTACTCCGGTATAATGCACACGGATGATGCTATCTGACTAACGAGAAGGAGTTCAGGGAGTGGGGAGTGGGGAGTGGGGGGGGAGGGAAAGGCATGAAAAAGAACCGCACGGTTCATGCCTTCAAGGAACACGATGTCACAATAAAAAAATAATAACTTTACTGCCTCTCAGCCCTGTCTGGGCAAACCTGGCAGCTGTTGGGGTGAGTGTGAGTGAGCAGCAGTACACAATGTCCGGGCTGGTTCCAGGCTATTCCAACAGGATGACATTTTCGGGCAGATCAGATCGTTCCAATTAAAAAAAAAACAACAATTTATTTCATCCCTCCTCCTCCTCCTCCTCCTCCTCCTCCTCCCTTACCTCTCTCTCTCTCTCTCTCTCTCTCCCCTCTCTCTCTCTTTTTCTTTCTCTTTCGGTACATGTACAGTAATTGCTGCCTTTGCAATTCTGACCCATTCCAACAGGAACACTTCCTTCCCTCCAGTCCTCCCTTTTCCTTCCTTCTCGCCTATGCAAACGCAAAAGCATTCGATCATTCCACCCCATCACCATCACCACCACCACCACCACCCACTCCCCCCTCCACACAACAACAACAACAACAACAACACCCCAAAGAAATGCTAAACTGGTTGGAAAGTTTACTGAAGATTGGGAAGTCTCACGATTCCACCCCCTCCCACCCCCTCCCGACACGAATACTCACTCACACACACAATTCCTCCATCAAGTGCAAAAGGAAACCGCCCCGAGAAAGGATCGAGAGTTCCAGTATTACTCTCGTTCATGACTTAAAAACCCGATCCGGTTATTAACGACGTAGAGGTTGTCACTGCTCTCACCGATCAACTTCGGACTCAACACAGAGAGTCCATCATACCTGATCCTCACTCACTCACTCACTCACTCACTCAATTATTCACTCACTCACTCATTTACTCACTCATTTATTCACTCATTTTCTCACTCATTTACTGACTCACTCACTCATTTACTCATTCACTCATTTACTCACTCACTCAATTATTCACTCACTCACTCCTTTACTCACCCACTCACTCCTTTACTCACTCACTCACTCCTTTACTCACTCACTCACTCACTCACTCATTTACTCACTCACTCACTCATTTACTCACTCACTCAATTATTCACTCACTCACTCCTTTACTCACCCACTCACTCCTTTACTCACTCACTCACTCCTTTACTCACTCACTCACTCACTCATTTACTCACTCACTCATTTACTCACTCACTCACTCCTTTACTCACTCACTCACTCATTTACTCACTCACTCACTCACTCACTCGCGATCATCTCCTAAAATCTCTCAGTGAAAGTGTCCATCCGTATGTTTTTTCCCCCAAACTGCAGGAACTTTCCTGACTGACCCTTCAGGCAGAGCCACTCTGTTTGGCGTCTTCCCTGATCGACATTCCGGACAACCAACCGCTCAGCCCTCGCGTCCCCACCGCCATCGTGTGAACCATTTAAACGCCGATGGAACTTCTCTCCGGAGCTTCTTTTGGGTGAACTTTCTTCTCAACGTATCATTTCTCCTCCGAAGACAATGAACCACTTTACTTCACACTCCAGTCCAAGGTCCGCCTTCACTGTCTGGTTTCCCACATTCAGTCCCGGGTTCAGAGTCACAGTGTCAGGGTGTCAGAGTGTCTGGGTGTTAGGGTGTCTGGGTGTCTGGGTGTCAGAGTGTCTGGGTGTTAGGGTGTCTGGGTGTCTGGGTGTCTGGGTGTCAGAGTGTCTGGGTGTTAGGGTGTTAGGGTGTCTGGGTGTCAGAGTGTCTGGGTGTCAGAGTGTCTGGGTGTCAGGGTGTCTGGGTGTTAGGGTGTCTGGGTGTCAGAGTGTCTGGGTGTCTGGGTGTTAGGGTGTCAGGGTGTCTGGGTGTCAGAGTGTCTGGGTGTCAGGGTGTCTGGGTGTCAGAGTGTCTGGGTGTCTGGGTGTTAGGGTGTCTGGGTGTTAGGGTGTCTGGGTGTCAGAGTGTCTGGGTGTCAGGGTGTCTGGGTGTCAGAGTGTCTGGGTGTCTGGGTGTTAGGGTGTCTGGGTGTCAGAGTGTCTGGGTGTTAGGGTGTCTGGGTGTTAGGGTGTCTGGGTGTCAGAGTGTCAGAGTGTCTGGGTGTTAGGGTGTCTGGGTGTTAGGGTGTCTGGGTGTCAGAGTGTCTGGGTGTTAGGGTGTCTGGGTGTCAGAGTGTCTGGGTGTCTGGGTGTTAGGGTGTCTGGGTGTCAGGGTGTCTGGGTGTCTGGGTGTCAGAGTGTCTGGGTGTCAGGGTGTCTGGGTGTCTGGGTGTTAGGGTGTCTGGGTGTCAGAGTGTCTGGGTGTTAGGGTGTCTGGGTGTTAGGGTGTCTGGGTGTCAGAGTGTCAGAGTGTCTGGGTGTCTGGGTGTCAGAGTGTCTGGGTGTCTGGGTGTCTGGGTGTCTGGGTGTCAGAGTGTCTGGGTGTCTGGGTGTCAGGGTGTCTGGGTGTTAGGGTGTCTGGGTGTCAGAGTGTCTGGGTGTCAGGGTGTCTGGGTGTCAGGGTGTCTGGGTGTTAGGGTGTCTGGGTGTCAGAGTGTCTGGGTGTCAGAGTGTCTGGGTGTCAGGGTGTCTGGGTGTTAGGGTGTCTGGGTGTTAGGGTGTCTGGGTGTTAGGGTGTCTGGGTGTTAGGGTGTCTGGGTGTCGGGGTGTCTGTCCGGGTGTTCGGTTGTCTGTCTGGGTGTCGGGGTGTCTGTCTGGCTGTCGGGGTGTCTGTCTGGGTGTCTGTCTGGGTGTCTGTCTGGGTGTCGGGGTGTCTGTCGGGGTGTCTGTCTGGGTGTCTGTCTGGGTGTCCGGGTGTCTGTCTGGGTGTCTGTCTGGGTGTCTGTCTGGGTGTCGGGGTGTCTGTCGGGGTGTCTGTCTGGGTGTCTGGGTGTCTGTCTGGGTGTCGGGGTGTCTGTCGGGGTGTCTGTCTGGGTGTCGGGGTGTCTGGGTGTCTGTCTGGGTGTCGGGGTGTCTGGGTGTCTGTCTGGGTGTCCGGGTGTCGGGGAGATGGTGGTGGGGGCGGGGCCTTTAAATGTTCTCTCACAGCTGATGTCAGGCCGGGGGGTGGGGGGGGAGGGGGAGGGGTCTGTGACCGGAAGGCGGGGCTTCGGCATAAAGGGGGGCGGGGCGTGAGCGCGTCAGTGAGCGAGGGAGGGGGCGGGGTTTCGCGCTGATGGGCGGGGGGTTGCGGTGGCCCCGCCCCCTCCCTCCCTCCCTCCCGAGGCCCGAGGTCGGCCGCAGGTACACCGAGCGCTCGCGGTGGGGTCTCGGGACCTGTCGGGAACTCCAGGTCCTTGGCGGCCGCGCGGGGGGGCGGGGAGTGCGGGGGGGGGGGAAGGCCTCGGCCTCGGCCTTTCCTACAAGCGGAGCTACAACGATCGACCCCCAGGAGCCGCCCCTCCCTCTCCCTCTCCCTCAGCACACACACACACACTGGGGGTGGGGGGGGGGGGTGGGGGGTTGTGGGGGGGTTTGGGATGGGGGGTTGTGGGGGGTTTGGGGTGGGGGGTTGTGGGGGGGTTTGGGGTGGGGGTTTGTGGGGGGTTTGGGGTGGGGGGTTGTGGGGGGTTTGGGGTGAGGTGGGGGGGGGTTTGAGGGGGAGGGGGTGTATGATGTGATGAATTTGGACCTCTCACAGTCTCTTATAATAATAATAATAGTTTTTACAACCGCAGCGCAACAACGAAACAACGCAACAGACGGCGTTTGCGGTCGCGCCGCCTCCACGTCGGGGGTGAAGGCCCCCCCCTCCCCCCCCCTCCCCCCGAGGCGCTGGCCGGGGGTGGGGGGTGGGGGGGGTGGGGGGGGGCTGGGCCGCCCCTCCCGACCTGAAAGGCGCCGTCGCAAACCCTAACTTGTTTCTTGACAGTCGTCGCTTTTGGATGCGGCGCCGTTATCGGGTCGTCGAGACGTCTCGAAGCGCTTCCTCGGGGGGGGGTGGGGGTGGGGGGGTGGGGGTGGGGGTGGGTTCGGGGTGGTGGGGTGGGGGGGACACACCGGCTGTGCAGTGTGTTTTGCGTCAGATGTGCTCGAATCGACGCCGGGGACGTTGGAGAGCGGAATGACTGACTGACTGACTGACTCTCTTCAATCTGGTTGATTGCAGTCGCCTGGACGTTAGGAGGGAGGGAAACATCGCAGGAAGTATCCGAAACGGACCCTCGCTCGCTTCGTGCCCCCTCCTCCCCCCGCCCCCACCCCCCCCCCCACTCCCCCCACCACCAACAACAAGGCTCCCTTTCGTGGGCACCGATGGAGCCGGAGAAGACAAGTTCCGAAGCTCCTCCACGCACCGCTTCACTTCCAGGTGATGGCTCGGCAGGTGAGATTAATTGGCTTGGGTCGCACAGGTGGCACAGGAAGTATGAACCTCCTGATTAACGTGGAGACGCGCAGCAAGTTGCTGTAGGGAAAAGCCCACTGAGGAAAAGGGCTTCTCAGGATGACGAGCAACAACCTGAGGGTCTCCCTCCGAGGCTACCCTCTGGTGACGCTTCGTTCCCCGCCCACAGCCATTTTCCTGCAGTGGAGCCCTGCAGCATTATGGTCAGAGCGCTCGCCTCGCAAGCGACGGGGTCCGGGTTCGATTCCCGGCCGGGGCGAAACCTTCGGCAAGTTTCCTTACTCCTCACGCCTCACAGTAAGTAGGAACTCCCCACGCAGCAAGTAGGAACTCGAGTGTTAGTCTATTGGTGGATCGCTTTCCTGGGTAATGATCCCTAAAAAAATAATAGTTTAGTCACTCAACCCACAACTGTTAAGTTTGAAACATCTCAAAGACGTGATAAGGCGCTATGTCAACAACAACAACAACAACAAATTACACTTAGTGCCCTTCACTTCAGAAAGATGCATGAATTATTATTATGTTTCTCCTGTGGTGTGAATCGTAAAGAACTCGAAGCAGAGTGTGAGAGCTCCAGCGAAGCAATGCCTGTTGACCAAGAGACGGTGGAAAAATTGACAGAGGGGTTGATCTCCCACTACCTCCCTGACCTACAGCGATCCAAAAGCTCCCTCCAGGAACTGACGTAAGTTTATGCAAACATTCCTCTCGTTCAAACAGTTGCAATTCGCTTTGGGAATGGGTTGAACTGATAGTGGGAGCAGCATAGCATGTCTTGCGTCTTTATATGAGAGGCAGCTTTGTTGCGTGTGTGCACAAACTATTATATATTGTTTCAAATTGTTTTAGACAGAACCAGTTGGTGCTGTTGGACACCTTGGAACAAGAGATCTGCAAATTCCAGGAGTGCCATTTAGTGCTGGATATCAATGCACTTGTAAGTACAAGACATGCACAGTACGATACAAAATTACATCTGAACCGTTGTGGATTGAGTGACTAAATTATTATGACAGCAATTACTGCAAAGTGCTTTGATGCGTTTTATAGAATCCTACAGCACAGAAGGAGGCAAAAATCTTGCATCTTTGAAAGAGCTATCCAACGAGTCCCACTCCCCTGCTCTTTCCCCATAGACATGTACATTTTTTTCTTTTCGAGTGTATATATATCCAGTTCCCTTTTGAAAGTTATTATTGAATCTGCTTCCACCCCTCTTTCAGGCAGCGCACTCCGGAACTATATTTTTTACACATAATCTTCAGTTGATATAATATAAATTTTGATGTGTAAGTATTTGTGAACATATTTTGAATCAATTCGTCTTTTTAAAATATTTTGTGTTCTTTCCCTTTAGTTCGCAGAAGCTAAATTCTACCACAACAAACTGGTTAACATTCGCAAGGAGATGATCACCCTGCACGAAAAGACAACCAAACTGAAGGCAAGTGAAGTGTGTTTTATTCCCGTTTGTCTCACTGGCTCATGCAGCTGGGAGCAGCTTGAGTGCAAACCCTTAACTGTCCAGCACCTTGGGACATCCTTATGACTTGAAAAGTGCTGTGTAAATGTAATGATGCTGTTGTTGAGAGAACATCGTAAATAGGCAGGTGGTTAGGACAAGTTACGTGGCAGAATATCAGGGCTCAGCTGGTAGAACTCTAGCCTCCTGTTCAACCTGTGTGTCTTTGAGCAGGCAGCATGACTTAAGATCAATGATGCTCCAGTACAATAGTGAGGGAGCACAAAACAGCCATAGCCAGAGGTAACTGTGCCTCATCTTATAATACTAATAACAATAACCCCCACATTTCCTTCACTATGATCGCTGGCAGAGACGAGCCCTGAAACTTCAGCAGCAGAGACAGAAGGAGGAGTTAGAGCGAGAGCAGCAGCGAGAGAGAGACCTGGAGCGCGAGAGGCAGCTGATCGCCAAACCGGCCAAACGCTCGTAGCGGAGCGTACATCATTCAGAGCCGAGTGGATCAGCACAAACCCCGCAAACAGCAACGTCTCCGGCTTACAGAGCAGCCGGGAACCCAGGGGTTCTGTTTGCCGCACAGGAATCTATGAACTATAAAGATCACTTTATTTCATAATTTGAGCTACAAGCCAAGTGTGGTAATGTAGACTCTGCTGTGAAGGAGGGGGAGGGTGGGAGTCTGGTTTGCAATGAGATTTCAACTGCAGCTTGTGATTTCTTCTTTTATATATACGTATAGTATAAAAAACACAGTATTTTGTGCTCTTGAAATGTTTTAATGTGTAAAAGGAAAAGTGTGTTCTGTATGGATGGGGGGGCACAGGAACAACATAATGCAAAGTTAACTCCAGATAATAGAGACAGTTGGGCCCCCAACACAGGGTCCTATGAAAGGGAATTCCAGAGGTACATTGGAACAGCAATGCCCTGTGCTGTGGTGTGGGACACGGCTCTCGGTCTCATTTGGAGCTGAGAGGTTCTGGGTTAGAGACTGGGATTCCACCATCATTTCCTTCACATGCAACCTCCTAGCAGTCAGGCCTCTGGAAGTTCACCTCGCTGGCAACTGTGGCTACACTTTTATTTTTTTATGGCAGTAATTGCATTGTTCCTTTGATATTCTCTCAGAAATATTTCGATTTGGATTTGAGCCAAATTAGAACTCACTGGGCAAATTCCTTACCGTGTTACATTTTCCTTGGCCTTTACCAACACTTGGGTGAAGATGTTGGAGGCGAAACAAATAAAATTTGAATTTCTCAAACTGTTCCTGGGTGTCTTTTGTCTTTTTGTTGCAACCAATATTTAGTTAGGTTGGCCTTTCGGACAATCCTGCCAATTTCTTTAATAAAAAATTCCCCCACTGAGCATGAGTGGGCCTGTATAAGTGATGAGAGACCCAAAAAAAGAACAGTCACTACACTTGACGGCAATTACCTGTGAAGCACTTTGACATTTTGATGTCACAATCGCCCAGATAAAATTGGTCACCATATCAAATCCAGGGATTATTCTTACAAGTAGGTAAGCATTTTTATGGATGAAGTAATGAAATACTGGTATAAGAAGAGTGATAAATTAGGTTATAATATCAGCGCCTCCTCTTTACCCTTTAAGCAGCTCGTTTGCTGCCTAGTGGTAATTGGGATGTGTGACTGTCAGTGCTGTTGTCTGGTTTTCAGGCAATACGGGGCAGCCCTGTGATATGTAATCTCATTGTAGCAAAACTGCACAGGTCTTTATAAAGTCACTTAAATTCCTGGTTAATATGTACACAGTGATTACCTGTCTAAATCATCAGTGTTTGAGGAACGGAGTGGACCACAGCGGGACTGGACTGATGAATAGATTGCGTTCACGCCAATGCACTCAGATCATTCCAGTTTCCTCTCGGAACAGTCCCAGTAGAACTTTAATAATAATCCTTGCATTTCGTACAGCGCCTCATCATGTCAGAAGTCTCGAAGCACTTCAGAGGAATTACTGTGAAAGGTCTACATTCGAAGGACCGCACCTCCCCGACAACTCAACACTCCCCCAGCGCTGCATTGGGAGTCCCGACAAACAGCCACCAAGTTGGTGACCAATTTTATCTGGGCGATTGCTGGCCAGGAACCAACAGAAACTCTCTTCAAATAGTATCATTTGATACTATACGTGGAGTCCTGTAGCTCAGTGGTTAGAGCGCTCGCTTTGCGAGTGAGAGACCTGAGTTCAATTCCAGGCAGAGGGCGAAACCTTGGGCAAGTTTCCTTACTCCACACAGAGCCTAATAATAATGCCTACAAAACAAAACAATAATAAATTGGTCATTTTCAATCTACGACTGTTTGTGGGACATTGCTGTGCGCAATTGGCTGCCGCGTTCGCCCACAAATATACAGTCAATTCACTTTACAGTGTGTTCTGTGAAGCGCTTTGGGACGTCCTCCCGACGTGAAAAGCGCTATATCAAATGCAAGGATTATTATTATTATTATTATTATTATTATTATTATCACAGGATCTTTAAGATCCACTTTCACAGATGGACGGGGAACTCGGGGGTTAAACGTTAAAACATAAGCATCTCATCGCAAGTGCTGACATTGCCCAACGACACAGTGCGACGTCCTCCCGACGTGAAAGGCGCTATGCAAATGTGATCTCGTTGTTATTCTCCCAGTGTCACCATAATTAGATGACCGGGAACTCAAAAGTCCAGGTCAAAGTGCTACCAACTGAACCAAGTTCCAAACCACCCCCAACCCCCACCCCCAACCCCCACCCCCAACCAGGAGAGATGTAACGTGGGGACCAGTGGTGGTGGTGGGGGGGTTGCAAAGAAGTGTCATCACGTGAAAAAACAAGAAAGGCCATTTGAAGTATAATTGGTATCAAATAAAAATAAAAAGGGGGCGTTGACTTGTTTCTGACCCAAATCTTTCGAACGAATGAGCTACAGGATGGGAGGCAGCGAATCTCATTAGGGCTCCAGGACAGTGGGTGGTGAAGGGCTGGAGCCCCCGAGGGATGGATTGACCACAAGTCGTTTGCAGGTTTTTTTGATATATATATACATATATATATTTTAAAAAGAAACCCAGGACGAGAGGAGGTGAGGACCGATCGCTCTTCCAATTAGAACAATTTCCCTTTAAAACGTAGGGAGAATCGATGCGCAAACTGAGAGGTTCGAGTCCAGATGTTCTTTGTGGTTGGGATCCAGAAGGGTCGGGGGCTCTGGGAGGTGGTCACACACACACACACACACACACACACACACAGGGGGGGGGGGGGACATGTCACTCGACAACTTTTTGTTCTGTTGTTCCAGCTCTGGACTTTCGTTTGCCATAAATCCGCAGCGAACAGCTGAGAATTGCTCTCTCTCTCTCTCTCTCCTCTCTCTCTCTCTCCTCTCTCTCTCTCTTTCTGTCGGTCAGAGATCGATGTGTTGGGTTTAAAGGGACCGTCTGTAAACGAAATGGCTGTGGCTTTGCACAGGGGGTGAGGGATGGGGAAAGGGATCTCAGAGCAGGAATGTAGGGGTGGTGGGACCTGGGGCTGTGGGGGAGACCAAGAGAGGACAACAGCTTCAGACCCACTTCTTATCAGCTGCTGGACCTGTCTGTCTGTCTCTCTCTCTCTCTCTACACACACACACACATACCCTTCCTCTCTGCCAAGGAATCCGCCTGTGACCAGGATAAAGCCCTGATGTACATTTTGTGGGAGACCCGTAGTATGGTGGTTTGAGCGAGGACCCGGGTTCGATTCCCGGGCAGGGCGAAACGTTGGGCAAGTTTCCCTACTCCGCACACCTCTTGTTTACCTGGCAGTGATCCTGGTTGTTAGTCGACTGGCCGATCACTTATCCGGGGGTAATAATGCCCTAAAAAAAAGGTCACTCAATCCACGACTGTTTGGGTCACCGCTGTGCGCAATTGACTGCCGCCCACAGAATGCACAATCAGATTAACAGTATATCCTGCGAAGCGCTTTGAGACGTCTCAACGACGTGATACGGTGCTATATCAAATGCAAGGGTTATAAAAATTATTATGCAGCAAATTGTTATTTACATATCCACTGTGGGAAGGATTAGAAAAGAACCAAAATGCTGTTTGAGTTAACTTTGGCAATAGTGCATCCAGTTTTTGTGCTGCTATCTCTGCTTCCTGAACTATTCTTTTTGTCTCGCTGTTTATCTTCCTTCCATCCTCTCCGGAGGCCAGAAATTACACCCATTGTTAGCCTGTAAAACCATTTTGCAGTTCTTAAAAATAATAATACTTCCATTTGATATAGCGCCTTATCCCGCCGTTGAGGTATCTCAAAACGCTTCTCAGAATATGCTGTAAAGGGTATTTTACAATATTTTTGTGGGCGAAACGTGCAACAACTTGTATTTTAGTGCAGCACTCTCTGTTTAAAGAACGTCTCAAACTGCTTGACAATTATGGTCGCGGAGACAATCTGTGGAAATCAGAGATGGAGAGATGTTGATGTCAAAGAGATGTGTTTTTCAGAGGATTCGGGAACCCGAGAAAGAGGTAGTGAATGGATTTGGAAGAATGTTGTACACAGAGAGCTAACTGGTTGAAGGCTTGGCTGTTGACAGGAGAGCGAAAGGAGTGAGGACTTTTTTTTAATTGTTGCAAAATCATTTTTCGAACTTTGTCGCAGTCAGTAATTAAAACTGTGACAATGGGTAAACATTACGGATTAACCATTCCCACATCCGGGTGGATGGGAGACAAAGATAGTTTTAGGCCTTTGGCCCATCTTACAAGGGTGGTTTATTGTTGAGGATGATCGCGGATGATGAGGCTGTAGTCTTTGTGGAGGCCCGGAGTGGGGAATATTTTCTCAGGAACAAAAAAGGAAATGGGATCAAATTACTGTGCATCAAAGCTGCTTGTCGCTGTCTCTCATCCAGTGGAGCAGTAAAACATACTCTTAAGAGAATACAAATTCTCGGTGGTGGAGGTAAGGCATCATTTAGCAGAAGACTTTGCGAAGCCAAGGTTTTCAATTTGTTTTTGAGCTTCCGGGGAAGCTCAGTTTCAAGAACGAAAGGAGCAAGAATGCTAAAGGTAAAAGCTGAATGTGGAGGGCGGGGAAAGGAAAGAATTTGGGAGCCAAAGTTCACTGGGAGGTTGAAAAGACACTTGTGGTTTGGGTTTGACAAATGCTACCACCGACCGCAAGCCGTACAGTCATTGCTTGAGTTCTTGCCCAAGTGGACACGCCTCCAGTTTATGACTTGGGTTCACCGACGGCCGAGAATGTTATAAAAACTTACAAAACTGTCTTTGCTAGGCCCTCTTGTGAACCTGGACCTGCATATAGCCTTCCCTCCCCACGTGGTGCACAAAGTGGAGAAAAGCAACTTTTTTTCTCAAATGTTCCTCTCGGATTGAGGGACCACTTGGTGAATGTGCTGTAGTTTGAACGTTTGACCATAATCCACGTCACAAGAACAGGTCGGCTTCAATCTCTTAGTCACGGCGAAAGGTACCAAACGTAAGTTGTTGTGAGATGAGACTACATATCTCACTATTTATTACCCATGGATCATGGACATGAGAAGCAGGTTTGAAGGTTGTCTCGGCTACTCAAAGCAAATCTATTTGTCTTGAAAACACTCTTGTGTGTGATTGATCGAGCTCAGTGCAAGACTTTGCTCAGGAGGTAATTGGTGAAACTGAGCTTCCATCTACTAAATCCTGAAAACACAGCTGTACTTTCTGCTCTTTCAGTGATTTGCTCTCATTAACCTATTTCTAATCACACTGTTCAGGTAGGATTAGGCAGGATTGATCAATCTGAGAGCAGAAATGTGATTTATTATTTTAAAATCTTATTTTGTTGAACAGAATAGATTCCACCTCTCCCCCGCCCCCCCCCCCCCCCCCCCAACGTTTCCCCACCTCATTATTTTCAAGTTATTCGACAATAAAACATAAAATTCATAAAACTATCTCTCAGTGATATCTAATGTCAGTGCAAAGGCTTGGGAGGGAGAATCTGTTTCGTAATTTACAGCCAATAATAATAATAATAATACTTGCATTTGATATAGCACCTGATCACATCATTGAGATGTCTCAAAGTGCTTCACAGGGTATACAGTACTGTAAAGTGCAGTGACTATAATGTGTGTCCTTGTGTGAGAATGTGGTGGTCATTTTGCACACAGCAACGTCTCACAAACAGCCATGACGGGAATGACCAATTTTGCCTGGGGGAACTTGTTGACCAGTACATCAAGAGAAACTGCTTTTGAAGAGCAAGGAGTTCTCTCTGTGTCTAAGTCAACATTTCTTACTCCTCCAAGTTCACCATAAAACCAAGAGGGTCAACTGATCTTATGCTCTTTGTAGATTAACTGCTGAGTTTGCCTTACGTTGGCAAGAATCACTGCACTTCAACAGTTAACGGGAACTGTTTTGAAATGATAAGATGTTGCAACAAATACAAGTATTTTACTTCTTTTTATCAACTGTAGGACCTTGAGTAGTTGGAATCTGTAAGACGCCTTGCAATGAATTGCTGGTTGTGTATTAGACGTGTGTACAAGGCGCTCATGTGTATTTAAGGTGCGTTCCTGCAGAAAATGATGGTATTGGAAGAGCCTCATTAGTGCTGTAAAGTAGTTACGAAAACTTGTTCAAACTTTTGCGTCAACAATAAGAAAACAACAACATTTCATTACATTTGATTACATTTCTAAAGCACCTTTCAAGTCGGGAGGATGTCCCAAGAGCTGGTTAGACAGAGTTACGGACTCGAGCTGAGGGTCGGGGTGGGGGAGGCGGTAGGGAAAGGGGGGGAAGCAGGGAGATCAAAAGCACGATCGAAGAGGAGGGTGTTGAGGTGGGTCTTGAAGGTGGCGAAGGAGGGGGCGAGATGGAGGGACTGCAGGATGAGATTCCAGAGGGTGGGGAAGGCCCAGCCACCGACAGTGGGGTGAGCAAGGCGGGGGACATGAAGCAGGCCAGAGCCCGCTGAGCAGAGGGAGCGAACAGGATGGTAGGGGGTTAGGAGGTCGGAGAGGTAGGGGGGAGAAAGACCGTGGAGGGCTTTGAAGGTGAGGGCCAGGATCTTGAACTGTATCCTCTGTGTGATGGGAAGCCAGTGGAATTGGGCAAGGATGGGGATGATAGGATTGCGGAGCCTGGTGCGGGGGAGAACACGGGCTGCAGAGTTCTGGATGATCTGCAGCCTGTGGAGGGAGGAGTTGGGGAGGCCGACAAGCAGTGAGTTTGCATAGTCAAGTCTCAATGTAATGAAGGCATGTATGAGGGTTTCGGCGGCCTGTGGTGTGAGACAGTGTCGAAGCCGGGTAACCTTGCGGAGATAGGGAAAGGCAGAGCGGGTCATGGTGCAGATGTGGGGTAGAAAGGATGGTTGAGGGTCAAACAAGACCCCAAGGTTCCGGACTGGCTTAGCAAGGTGGACTGTGCAACCATGGATGGTGATGTTGTCAGCGCCTGAGGTGAGGAGGCGCTGATGGGAGCCAATCAGGAGAGCCTCGATCTTAAGGACAGAGCCCCGAGGAACGCCGCATATGATGATCCGAGGGCTAGAGAAGGACAGGGAGAGGTTAACAATGTCAGTGAGTAGAGGGGCAAGGAGGTGGAGCCTGGAGGTAAGGAGTGTGGTAGGGATGGAGTCGAGGGAACAGGTGGTACTCAAGGTCCTACAGTTGTCAAGTTGGAAATAGGCCTTTCCTTACAAAAAAAACAGTCACTGTGCTCCACATTTATCACCGTGGGTTGCTTTGGCATTGCCTCGTGTCGTGGCCTTTGTAAGAAATGGTCAAAGATGGACAAGAATAGGCCATTTGGCCAATATTGTGGATGATTCTGTATTTGTGAACATTTCCTTTGATTGCAGATCCCTTTGACCGTCCAACAATGAACTTCGCTCTTCCAGCCCGTCCGCTCTTCAGCAAACTCAGCCTGTGGTCCCTGAATGCTGGTTACCGGGGACTGCATCTCTCGCCAGGCCTCACAGCCAAGGAGTTCTATGAAGTGTTGGTGGTGGGAGGCGGCACTGGTGGTGTCTCCATGAGCGCTCGGATGAGGAGAAAATTGGGCGTTGGAAAAGTAGCCATCATTGAGCCAAGTGAGGTATTGAGATTGTAGTTCTTGCCTTCAGGCCTTGGCACCTCCATACCTTTCTGACCTGCTTTCTCCCCACTCCACTACCCGCTGTTTCTGCTTGGCTAGCTCTGGCCTCCTGTTTGTCCCTTGTACTCTCCCCTCCACCATCCAAGCCACCTCCTTCTCTCCCCCCCCCATCTCCCCCACTGTTAAGCTCTCTGAGGCACTGGCCCATGTGAAGGGGTTGCATAAACGAAAGTTGCTGTAGATCAACGTTACTAGGAGTTGGATCTATGAGCCACTGACGCCTTCCCAGCTCAGTCTATTCCTCCAGCATCGAAGGGGAAGAGGTGGAAATTGCATTTATGGGGTGGAACCCAACCACTTTTTGACACGAGTCCTGGTCTAGAATAGAATACTGCTAACGTTAGTATTGTCATTTTTTTGGGGGGTCAGGTGGGTGTGTGTCACATGCGAAAACTCATCACTGTTCTTAAGAGTGATGGTGGACTCCTTTGTTCTAAGAAGTTCACGGCATGATTCTGCAACCTTCTGAATATGTCAATCAGGCGCGAGCGTGCTTGGATCAACTGCAAAGAGGTCCGGCCTCATTGATGTGGGAGGCCAGGTGAGATCTCACCGCCGGCTCCAACCAAATATGATTTCTCTTCACAGAAACACTACTACCAGCCCATGTGGACACTGGTGGGAGCTGGGGCTAAACCCTTAAGTGATTCGGGGCGTACGACTGCCAGTATCATCCCGTCCGGAGTCAAGTGGATCAAATCCCGAGTTCAGGAGTTCGACCCAGAGAAGGACCTTGTCCGTACGGCTGATGGGAAGGAGGTAATTACCCTATTGGAGAGATGGCGGGGTGCTATAGTGTCTAATAGTGGTTGGTCCTACAGGGCTTAATCTATTCTCCGTATGATCACTGAGCCATGAGACACAGAGACAGAACATTATTACCAAGGCTGGGAGGAGTTTCAGCAACACAAAATAATTCAGGCTGAGGTAGTTGAGTTTGGCCAAGTTTATGAGTGGAGCTGTTAAAGTTGCGAGATGGTATTCGTTGAGCAGACAGTGAATTAAGGACGGTCATCGTCTTTTGAAATTCTCTTTGATGTTCCTCATGTTCATTTGAGGGACAAGTTGGTCAGTCAAACCATGGACAATGTGTAAATGGGCCAGTGAGATAATTCAACAGCCAAAGGGTTAATCTCCCTGTTATGACCTGATTTTAAAGCTATGCAATAATTCTGTGACAATGACACCAATCTTTTTATTATGTTGCTCGTAGGTCTCTTACAAATACCTGATTGTTGCTGTGGGACTGGAGCTCCACTATGATAAGGTACCGAATGTCTCCACTTCCATTATCTCGCACTCGGACTTGAGCGAGCGGACAGACTCGTTGTGCATTTACATCTCCGATGCTTTTTTCTTTGTCCCAAAAAATCTCCCAATGTTGCATTCGCAGCATCGCGACTGACAATAAGAACAAGAATTTTCTAGATGAAAGAAGACCTAGATCCATCCAGTTCGCCTTCCACCATCTGGCAGTCACTGACACGTCATATCCCAAATTATACGCTGTGTCCCGAGGTATTATTTCCTAACAGAACTCCATCTAATTTGACCTTGAAAGAATCAACTATATCGCCATTTGTGTACCTGAATCCCTCTGCTCAGAGGGACAGAACTCCTTAAAATGGACTGGACACCAGCTGCTTTCTTTTACTGGTGGGACCCACCTGGACATTAATCCACGTTGCGATCAGTAATTGTCTGAAAAGTTCTGGCAAATCATAGCGGAAAGTGTCGTAAACAAATAATCATTGGGGGCACCTGTGTACCACGGTCTGGGGGTGAGACGAGCTGTGCGAGTCACCCTGAATATATCAGAGCAAATAAAAACATTTGCAGGACGGATGAGCAATAGTAGAGTAGCCAGTAGAGGGCAATGTTAGTGAGCTCTCTGCTAATAGATATAGAATAGATATCTATAAATAAGATATAAAAGTTGCTTCAAAAGGGCTATGACCCCAGGCTTGATGCCCATTTTTAATGAGCCTGAAGATATAATACGGCCTTACCTATCTGCTAGGCCTCGTACATGCCTGACCCTTGGAATTAGCTTTGAAAGATACGTCAGGGATGTGTGGATTGCACTTTAAAACATTTTATTTACACGAAAGGGATGGAGGGGTAGAGGGAAGGACAAATGTTTTGTGGTTTGTTTTTGGGGTTCAGGGAGTCTTAGAACTAAGCTTCTTCCCCCCCTCCCCCCCTCACTTGTTCTTTCCTCCACCCTTCCTGAGGTTAGGTGACGTCCTGGACTGTTGGAAATGTTGTGGCTTATTTGGGATTTGCACATTCATACTTTGCCACCAGGAGGCCGGTGTCTGACAGAACCCTAACACTTAACGGTTTCACTCACAAGGCCAACCCAAGCTGCACTGACCTCTTGTGGTTTCCCCCCTTAACTCTTCCAACCTGCGCCTAATAATTTCTGGAATTAGGTAAGCAGGGATGCATCCCTCCAGGGAGAGAGTGCGCATTCCATTCCAACAGTCTAAAATAATTTGGTTACTCGATCCATGACTGTTTGTGGGACGCTTTGAGACACATCAATGGCGTGATAAGCGCTATTTCAAATGCAAAGATTATTATTATTATCTCTGTCCATGTGTAGGTGGGATGCAAGGAATTCTCAGTTGGTTTGAATACCCTCAAGCATGGTGATGGGTTTCCGCATGTGTCAGACACCCAGGTGACCCCCAGAAAGCTCCTGACTCTTATTGCCTTTTATTCTCCTTCAGATCAAGGGGCTTCCTGAGGGCTTTGGTTATCCCAAAGTGGGCTCCAACTACTCGGTCAAGTATGTGGAAAAGACCTGGAAAGCGTTGCAAGATTTCAGGGAAGGAAATGCCATCTTTACCTTCCCCAACACGCCAGTCAAATGTGCCGGAGCTCCTCAGAAAATCATGTACCTGACTGAGGACTACTTGAGAAAGGTAAGGTTTGTCCAACCTACATGACGGGGAAGAATCTCTTAGCATAGTGGTTAAAGCACTCGCATCACAAGCGAGAGAACCTGCGTTTGAATCGCAGTCGGGGCAAAATCTTAGGCAAGTTTCCTTACTCCACATGCCTCTGTTTACCTCGCAGTAAGTGGGAACCTGATGTTCACAGGAAAAGAGTGTTCACCTCTGAGGCTACCCTTGCCTACTCACTGTTCAGCTCCTTGAGACGTCTTCCTGACGGGAAAAGCGCTGTATAAACACAATTTCTGGATGTTTTTGTGTTGACCACATTTCTTGGTCGATACCACAATACCACATTTTGCTTTTTAACCCCCAAAGTTTTTGAATGGCTTTCAGATTTATCTCATGGAGCTTTGAAGCTTAAATCGTTCACAGTTACACAGACGCTGTAGAAGCTTTAGTGGGGGAGGGAGGGAGTGGGGTAGGGAGTTAAACATGGAAAATCGGTTACATCTGCAAGTCATACAAGGGTTGGAACCAGCCTGGCTGTGCCGGACTTTGTGTTCTCTGAAGGTAGTCCTGGTGTCCAAGGTACAGTCTAAGACTCTTGTTCTGTGTGATTAATCTCCATTAGGAAGTCAATAGTTCATGCTGTTCCTTTTGAATGACCTATCAGTCTGGGGACATCTGCAGTGAATGACTGACCTTGAAATACCCTCTGCACTGAACACGCCTTTTTTCGTGTAGATAGGAAAAATTGCATAAGAACCTAAAAACACCTTATGCTAATCGCTCACAAGACCAAAAGTTACTAGTGCCTTCAAATCACTTAGATCCTCACCCACTCACATTGTAGGACAGCTGTCTGAACTATCTGCCTGATTAACTATTGACCATTATGTATCACAAGAGCAAGGAATACTCTTTCATTCCTCTTCCAATTCTCCCCAGTTGCCACCTGGGTAAACATACACAGTCACCGCACTTGATCCCAATTCCCCGTGAAGCACTTTGAGACGTCTTTTGACGTTGGCAAGCACAGTATCAAAACGCAAGGTTTATTGTCGCTTTCAAACCTCCCCCCTCGAGAAAAAGTAGAAAGAAAAGATAGAGCAAATTTTTCACTGAGCAGCTTTGAGCTATCAGAAAGGAGGGCTTGTGGTTGCATAGAAACACAGGTATTTAGCTGATTAAGCCTGTTCCACTGGTTTATTAAATCTTGGCATATCCCACATGACAAATACCAAAATCCCAATAGCTGTGGGTCAGCTTTTCCTCAGCCCACGTTCCTTTATAGAGACTCAGCTTTGTAGCTGCAGGTCCAAAGGTAAGCAATTTGATGTTGATATTTTCATATAAAATTCTCTCTTTACTCCTTAGTCCCTTAGGGTAGTGGTTAATGTGCTCGCCTCGCAAGCGAGAGGAACCGGGTTGATTCCCAGGCGGGGGGAAACCTTATGCAAGTTTTCTTACCCCACACACTTTGGTTTATCTCACAGAAAGTAGGAACTCGGTTGTTAGTCGATTGGCACAGGTAATAATCCCTCCAAAAAACATTTGGTCACTCAATCCACAACTGTGTGGGACATTGCCGTGTGCAATTGGCTGTCAAATTTCGCCCACAAAATATGCAGTCAATCCATTTTACAACATATTCTGTGCGGTGCTTTGAGATGTGTCAACGACATGATAAGGCACTATATCAACTGGAAGTCCTATGATATTATTATTATTACTACACGTATTTTCTGCCCCCTCTTTCACCCTCAAGACAGGGAAACGATCCAAAGCGAACATTTTCTACAACACGTCACTGCCGGTGATATTCGGGGTGAAGAAATATGCAGAGGCGCTTCTAGAAATTGTTGAAGACAGAGACATAGAAGTCAATTACAGGCTAAACCTCACTGAAGTCCATGCAGACAAATGCAAGGCTGTGTTTGAAAAGCTGGACCACCCTGGGGAGGAGGTGGACTTTGAGGTTTGTGATCGCTTTCCAATTTACATGGATACAGTGAGGAGGTGACATGCATCTCTGACGGCTTGTTTCAGCTCCTCCATAGTCTCACACTGCTGTTCTGTAACAGGGGGTAGCACGATTTTATGGACACCCTGCGGTCAGGTTGGCTGATCTCAATAGAACTGGGACTGTGTGGAGTTGAACTCGATTTCCCCATCACTCTTTTGCTGGGATGGATTTGAGCCAAGCTGGAGATTACTCTCACCTTTGGGTCTGAAGGTGGTGAGTTCAAGTCCTGTGTCAGGAGTTTGAGGCTAGTTTGACACTCAGTGTAAAAGGGGGTGGTGGGTAGAGTAATATACTCTCGGTAGGAGGGGGAGTTGCTAATATTTTCCTTTTGCTTCTCTGCCGTGAACAGTATGAGATGCTTCACATCACACCTCCGATGGGACCCTGGAAGGTAGTTGGCCAGAGCCGGCTGGCTGACGCCAATGGCTGGGTGGATGTGGACAAAGACAACCTACAGCACAGGAAGTACCCAAACGTGTTTGGCATTGGAGATTGCACCAACCTCCCAACATCCAAAACTGCCGCAGCAGTAGGTGAGGGTGACCCGGAAATAATCCCATGTTCATAGCAACGACCAGACTCTGTCCTAACCCTATGTACATACAGATATGGATTATGAAGGGGAGGGGATGAACCCATAAAAGATAATGGTTGAAAAATTGCTGTGTGCAATCTTGCCTACTAATTGCTGTAATGTAATTCCTGTAAAGCGCTTTGAGACGTCCTGATGTGCTATGGTGCTATATCACATGGAAGGATTATTATTCATAATGAAGTGTAAAATAACATACAGCATTAATAATAATAACACAACTGCAGCTTAGTCGCGAAACCAAGGAAGGACTGCAGTCAGTCACATTATGGGTCATCCAGTTATACAACTGCTATCTGTGTTTTGCAGAAATAAAACCAAATTCTGCTGAAAGTCTGATAAGAGGCGTACCCCGTTGCTGAGCTTTAGGAATATTGGCCGTGTTGAAGCTTACAGCGGAGTCAACGACACTTCCCTCCAGTTGTTTTATTTACCCGGTTGTTTCCAAAAAATTCCAACTGGGAGAAACTCCCTTCTCTTTTCCAATAGCGTCTTTTAATGTCCACCTGGAAAGAAAAAAAAAGGATGGGGGGACAGAACCTCAATGTAAATTCTCAAGTAAAAATCGGCACCTCTGACAATCCAGGGCCTCTCTGTCCTCTTCCCCCCCACCCCACTCTGCAACAGGCAAGACTATGAGCTTGTGGGCAGAGGTAGTGGGGACTAGGACAAGCACGTACAGGTGGGTTGTATTGGATGTGGAAGCACCAGCTGAGTGCTTAAAGCAGAGAGAGGCTATTTTTCACTATGCAGCTTGAATTACCCAGGCTAGAATCAGAAGGAGTGAGTGAGGGAGGGTTTGAGTCCATGGGAATGATTGGGATGGAGAGCGGATCAGTATTTAAATCCATTGTAGTCAATGTTGTTTGCAAACTCTGAGATGTTCCCTGCATACCGCAGGCACTGTGGAGTGCACTGTAGAAGCTGTGGGGAGCACAATCAATGGAGTTAGTATCCTGTGGGTGTGGGCAAAGCAACCATTTCACACCCTGATAATAATCCCTCAAAAAAAAATTGTTCATTTCAATCCACAAATGTTTGTGGGACGCTGCTGTGCGCAATCGGCTGCCGCATTTTGTCCATAAATATACAGTCAATTCACTTTACAGCATATTCTGTGAAGCGCTTTGAGACGTCTAGAAGACGTGAAAAGCGCTATATCAAATGCAAGGATTATTATTATTAAACACTTGCGATATTTATGAGTCTTTGTTAAGGACAGAAGTGACCATTATTTCAATAATATCCTTATACTTCGTATTAGCACCTTTCACATCAGGAGGGCATCCCAAGTCACTTTACAGGATTCACTGTGAGCAAAGGTCTAGAATGAAATGCACCATGTTATGCTCCTTACACTGAAACCAATAGAGGCTGGATATGGGGATCTAACACCAGACCCTGTCAGTTAGCTGGTTAAAGTCTAGCACTGTGTGCATTGTGGAGTCCCCAAACCTTGGCTCTTGCCAAGCTAAGCTCTGGGGTGATCTGGTTGCATCCCCGGAGGGAGAGAGTGCGCACTCTTTACCAGACAAATGGTAACCGTGGAACTCTCGGTAGTTTGCTTTGGATGCTCTTAAGCATGGTGGATGGTTTCCAGCGAGTGTCTGACTCCCGGTTGAATAGCAGGAGGGGAGTTGAGCTGCCTTGTTTACTGGAAACCTTTCTCCTGTTTGTCTGCGCTGCACAACATTAAATGCCTCTTCATTTCTATCTATCATTCCAGCCGCTCAGTCCAGCATCCTCAACAAAACCATCTCAAAGGTCATGAAGAACAAGAAGGCAACACACAAGGTAAGAGACCCAGAGTTGCGCTCGTTTTAAAGTCTCTTGTTCTGGTACCAAAGGGTAAACGTCGGCAACTTAATCATCACCTTAATTGCACAGTTGGGTAAAGATGGGTCTGTTTATCAATAGTCAGCTCCGCACTCCCCTCGGCTGGGTGTCATGCTCTGCCACTGTCAAGCGCTCTGGCATGCTATACCCTACATGAGGAGTACTTATATAAATGCAAATTGTTGTGGCTCAGTGTACTGTGGACCTACACAGAGAGTGCAGGACCCCTCTGGCACTGACTGACTCTCCTTGGCAAAGCTTATGGGTACAGAAGGTCTTCAAGAGACTTCTTTGGTATTAGCAGCACTGCTTGCCCAGGGGCTCAGCTAAAGCTTTGCAGGTAAAAGTTATACAAATGACTTTATAGCTTTAATGCTCCCAAGTTGCGGGAGCAACTTACAAGATCCTCGCTGAGGGTCTCTTATTGGGAGAACGGGTGGAGAAGAGTTAAATGTAAACTGTTTGTTTGACTTAGATTGTGACAGTAGAACTGGATTGTACCAAAGAATGTTTAAGTAGATAGTCTTAAGCAGGACTACTGCAATGTCAATTAACTACTTCAAAACCCAAATTGGATAAGTATCTGGTTGAGAACAATTTTGGAGGAGAGAAGATAGACTGGCAGGAACAAGGCAAGTTCACATCAATGGTTTATTTGCTGTTTGTGCTGGGCTACCCTATGACCCAGTCCAGTCTGCAGATAACTCAGAAATGGGAGCTAGGGCTTATATAGCTAGTTCTGTAGATAACTCAATACTCAGTAACTCAATACTGTACTAAATGTACTCCAGGGCCCAGGTGACATTCACAAGATCACAGCTCTTATCTACCATGTCCAGAGCCAATTCATCAAAGTCATCTCTTTATCACATAAACCTCAGAGTTACTGCAATGTTTCATAAAATAATTTGGGTTACACTGAACTCATAAAGTATATGGGTAGCAACATAGTTCTATTTACTGCCTTAGGCTGTACATTTCATTCCAGTCTTAATTTGCGGTGTCCATGAAGCAATTTCTGAATAAGAAATGTGTAAAACGTGAAATGACGTATTGTGCAGTCGTCGGCCCATTCACTGCTTTGAAAAATTCGACAACTGTATTTTTCCTATTAGGAAATCTGGTAAGAAATGTCCAAATTGGGAACCTGGTGTTGTAATGGAATTGGCTCATGAAATGGCTGCTGTTATAGACAGTGTGGGTAAGAAATCAAAGTGTGAGAATGACTATTTGGCACTGATAACTTAACCCTAACCCACAAACCTTACCATATCATTGATTCATTTAAGCTCTCTGAGACACTACTCTGCGTGAGGGACAACATATCAATGCAAGTTGTTGTTGTTGAATCCACCATCACCCACCACCATTTTGCTGGCCTGGAGATGCAACTTTAAAAGCTGTAATACATTGTGCATCTATATCTGTAACTTTCCCTTCACTCTATTTGGGTTTGGGTTGCAGTATGATGGTTACACCTCCTGTCCACTAGTAACCAGCTACAAGACCTGTATCCTGGCGGAGTTTGACTACGATGGGAACCCATTGGAGACATTCCCATTTGACCAGAGCAAGGAGAGAAGGACCATGTTTCACATGAAGGCAGATGTCATGCCCCCTCTCTACTGGCATGTCCTACTCAAGTAAGTTTTTCCTTTCGAAACACAAACAAAAGTTCATCAGGCTGTATAGTTACCAGCAGCTCTCCGAGATGCAATGCAGCGTTGTATTGTCGGAGGTGGCGTGCTTTGGATGAGATATTTCTGATATGGACTGAGATCGATAGATTTTTAAAAACTAAAAGGATTAAGGGATAAGGGCGGGTAAATGGAATTAGTTAGATCAGCCATGATCTTATTAAATGGCGGGGTGGGCTCAAGGGGCCTAATGGCCTACTCCTGTTCCTATTTCTTATGTTCTTATGTCAAACCAAGATGTTAAACCTTTAACATGCACCTGCTGTTCAGGATTGCAATTATTAATCAATTCTTTCAAGGATTATTCTTCTTCACAGGATAGAATGTACAGTAGTGTCTGCATTTTATGGGCTGAGCATGATTTGAGTCTGATATTGTCAACAACCATTTAGTTTGGCACTCTCTCTCTTCTCTCCCCCAGAGGGCTGTGGGGAGGACCTGCTCCTTTTCGAAAGCTGATGCATCTTGGCAAGAAGTGAGTGAGTGTTTGTGCTCAGACCAACCATTACGATAATCGTTCCATTTGTTTGAACTCTTGTCTAGTCACCTGATTTGTCAAATCTTAATTTTCACTGATCAGAAGCCTATTTGTCTTTTTAAAAAAAAATCGAACTGAGATGCTAACTTGATGACTCTGTAACCCTTTCTGACCTGAGTCAGATCAGCACTAATCTTCCACGTGTACATTGACACCACATCTGTGGCTCTTGTTATTCAGACCTGGATCTGTCACGTATTGAACAAAATCCCATCAAAGGCAGGAGAACCATTATTTTTTTGATTTCTTGGAGTTGGGCACATAACTCGGTCGACTTCTATAATAAAGCATACCAAAGCTATTCAAATTATCTGTGTGACGTATTTCTCCGATATCCTTTTTGTACTGCGGCAACCAGAACTGTACACAGTACTCTTTTAAGTATGGTCTCAGCAATGATTTATACAGTGTCAGGATTACCTCAGTATTTTGGTTTGCTTTTGATCCACCCCAACATCTGGTTTGCTTTACTCACTGCCACAGAGCATTGTTGGGAGAGCTTCAATTTATTGTCAATCAGGACCCCCAGGTCCTTTCATTCAAATAAGAGTCCCTTCCAGGATTTTGTGTCCCCATGAGAAGTACTCAGTGTAGCTCAATGGTTAGAGCACTCGCTTTGCAAGCGAGAGACCTGAGTTCAATTCCAGGCAGAGGGCAAAACCTTGGGCAAGTTTCCTTACTCCATACGTCTAATAATAAGCCCTCAAAAAACCATAATAAGTTGGTCATTTTCAATCTACGACTGTTTGTGGGACATTGCTGTGCGCAATTGGCTGCCGCGTTCGCCCACAAATATACAGTCAATTCACTTTACAGTATAGTCTGTGAAGCGCTTTGGGATGTCTAGAAGACGTGAAAAGCGCTATTTCAAATGCAAGTATTATTATTATTACTTTACATTGCTCCACATTGAATTTCATCTGCCATCGATCTGCCCAATTCCCAAGTATGTTCAAATCCTCCTGTAACCTATACAATCCTTGCATTTGATATAGTATTTTATCAAGTCATTGAGAAATCTCATAGCGCTTCACAGGATATATTGTAAAGTGAATTAACTGTATATTTTGTGGGCAAAACAATAATTACTTTGTGCACAGCAACGTCCAAACGAAAGTCAGGAAGTAAAAGACCATTTGAATCAGAGGAATGTCAACAGGTCACTGTAATGTCACCCAAACCCTCAGCCCTCTTCTCTGCTTTAACCCACCACGTTTTGCCCACAAAATACAGTCAAGGCACTTTACAGTATATTTTGTGAAGCCCTTTGAGACGTCTCAACAGCATAAGGCACTATATCAAATGCAGGGATTGTAGTTCACCTGCACCTTTTTCCTCCCCCTCCTTCCATCTCATTCTGACTTTTGTAAAGAACTTTTGAGACGTTCTACATGAAAGGTGTTAGTTAAGTGCACAGTTGTTGTCTATTGGTGCCATGTTTAGAAGCCATTTACTCTTAACATTTCACCAAACCAATTTCCACAAACCAAGAGGCAGAGTAGGTGTAGGGCAGATACTTTATTGATGCAGTTTCAGTATTTGCAGATGGTACCCAGCACACACCAGCGATCTTAAGTTGCAGCAAATAAATAGGTTTGTGCGGCAGAGAGTCGATTCACACACAGAGAGATGGGGCTGGTCTTAACTGGTACATATCCTACATTCGCATAGAGGCAGAATTCTTCTTTGGAGATAGGTAACTGCAACAACAACAACAAGATTACATTTGTATAGCGCCTTTCACAACAAGCAGAACACATAGATTCAGACTGAAACTTCAGCTGGAAAGAGCTTAAATTTGGGGGATTATGCAACAGGTTTGGGGACGGAGAATGGTGTCTAACCCACCCATAATGAATCAACCTAGAATTAGAAACTTATTTAACAAGTGTATAGCTCTCTGAAAAAGGGCTCCTCCCTCTGCGCTCACAGTATTAATGCTTCCCAAGTGGAGATTTTATTCCAACACCAAGTCATTTAAACATTCCCCCCCTCTTCCCACTCCACCCCCATTCCCCTCAGGACTCACTTCTCAGTTCTTCGAGATATTGGTCAATCTGGTTCTGGATGTCACCATACGTAAAGTTATACATTTCGTCCTTTGATTTAGTTCCATCCAAATTCACTGCATTTCACAAGAAGGATGAGAAAGAATATCAGACAGGCGTTTCAAGTGAATTGAACTTACATGTTGGGAGCACTGGAATATCCCCATTTTTGAGTATAGAAGCGAAGACAGATTTGCAGAAGATTGACTCACCCACATTAACAGCCATGTCCTCCATCATCTGATTGTGCTTCAGGTACATGGGCCACACGTGCTTCTCAAACAGCCCAGGTGGATCAGGTACCAAGTAGTTCCTTGTACTGCAAACAATAGTAAGGGAGCATCACTAAAGAGACTCGTGTTGGGAAGTTGGACACCAAAGCTTTGGTGGAGGAGAAAGAGGAAATGGGGAAGATTTTTTTTTGGGGGGGGGGTCTTTCGAGCTTTACCTTCTCCGTTTCTTGCATTCTTCGTATGGAATGTGAAGGAAGTAGCGGATGTGGAACATGTCAATCAGGGGTCTGTGGACAAAAGCAACCGGCAATTGGTCAAATCACGAGTCCAATGCTCCACTTTCGGGAAAATCTCCCTCGTGCGCAGGAGATCCGTAGTGTAGTGGTAAGCACGCTTGCCTCCTAAGTGAGAGGATCCAGGTTTGATTCCCAGGTGGGGCGAAACCTTAGGCAAGTCTTCTTACTCTACACGCCTGTTTACCGAGCAGTAAGTAGGAACCTGGTTGTGGGACGCTGCTGTGCGCAACTGGCTGCTGCATTTCACCCACAGAATACACAGTCAATCCACTTTTCAATGGATTCTGTGAAGCACTGTGAGACGTTTCAATGACGTGATAAGGTGCTGTATCAAATGCAAGGATTGTTAAATTATCACAATCCACGTTGGCACAAATTTGCCCGAGAAGCGCAGTGAGACATTGACGTTTACAGGTGCTTCATAAATACAATTAAAAATTATATATATTATTAAAATACATCGCAAACAAGTCAAGAATGCGAGAGTGCTGGTGACTGAGCTCTTACTGGTAGGTGTAGAGGAGGAAGCCCTCGACAATGAGGATGTGGATTCTGTTGTCCCAAGTCTTCGGTTTGGGTTCAGTTTCCAGCGGGTTGATGCCGTGCGAGTGCTCAAATTTCACTGGGTCTTTAATCCACGCTCGGATGGTATTCATCATGGCTTCCATATCTAATGCCGTGATAACTGCAAACAGGGCAGAACAAACGGAAATAACTTTTAAGTTGATGTGCATTTAGACATGCACAAAATGCTTTTTTTTTGTTAATTTAATAAAAGGATAGACCCGCATACTGTAAGTTTTGTTATGGATAACAGGGAGCTGAAGAGTTGCTTAGGGCAAAATAGTGTTAACACACTTTGAAATGAACAGTCACAGGGGTGCATTACTCCAACAAGAGTGTTGGACTACGTGCAGTTGAGGTTAAAGTGAGACCTGTGGTCTTACCATCATACTGCTTAAAGCCATCTTCACCAACCTCGATCTGATCCTGGGGCTGAAACATAGCGATCACAGAATACATATGCATTGCCAACCCATGTTTGGTGAACAGCAATAGGTACACAACCAGCCATTCAGCCTAAGGGCCAAACCTTAGCCCAAGAGGAAACTTCCCACTGACCTGTAATGCCAGGGATTTGCTGGACTGGATAGAAAGTTCTTATTTCACCTAATAGCTTCCTAATATCACTTAAAAGTGATCAGTAGAGGGAAGCCTGGCTAATCTCCCCTCCCAAAACCAGGGCTGTCAAGGCCAATTGTACCCCCAACTGAGATCAGCCCATTTAGTGGACACAGATTCAAACCTTCTGGTCTGTTACTGCACCCCTCTTGTAAGTACTCTCGTCGGGTTAGTGAGCAATGCATTTACCCACTAACCCACTATTGGAGCCTGAGCAGCGATTCTTTAACGTACAATTAAGTCCAGCTAGCATGGCCTTTGTAAACATACCTAAAAGGTTTGACCTTAGCACAAGTGCTGAAAACAGTCATGAGCTTCCCAATTGTAGTGTTATTTGGGGCAGAAAAAAATGCTCCCAGGAGATTCTTAAGCAGTGATTATTCTCCCCCCACCCACCCCAAAGATCTGGAAACCCACCATTCATCCCCCATATCAAATCTTCACCCACCAAAGTGATGAAGCTGAATTAATATTGATGTCAGAAAGAAAATTGATCAAGTGCTCATTCAAGCATTTTTCATTCAACATCACACCTTGCAGCATAAAAAAAGGTCGTTCGGTTCATCACGTCTGAGCTGGTGTTTTTTTCTCCACATGAGCCACAGTATCCAATCCCATTCTCTGGCTCACTGCCCAATCCCTCCTCATTCATCAATCAATCAATCAATCAATCAATCAATCAATCAATCAATCAATCAATCAATCAAATTTCCCTTCAAAAGAAGCTGTGGTCTCTGCTTTATCTACCCACGACATCACCACATTTATACTCACTGCTTAAAAGTGTAAGTGCAAAACCTCACCTTAAAGAATTCATCTTGGTGCACCACACAGCAGTTTGGTAGGGCTTTAAAGAGCTGCTTGGTGAGTGTGGTCTTACCAGCATTAGTGACACTAGAGAGAGAGTAAAGAGTTTATAATAAATACACTGTCCAGACACAGAGCAGAGCAGCATTGTGCTCAGGCATCGGAGACTAACAGTTGCATTTGATCTGGCGTCTTAATAATAATCCTTGCCTCTGATATAGCGTCTTAACACATCATCAAGACGTACAAAGTGCTTCTCAGGATATACTGTATATTTTGAGGGTGAAACCTGGCAACCAGTTTGCACACAGCAATTTTTCATAAACAGCCACAAAGTGAGTGGCTAATTTAATTTGGGGGATCGTTGGCCAGGACACCGGGAGAGATGGAAACTCCTGTCTCTTTTCGAATATCAAGTCACAGTGTCTCTCGAATCATTTCACACAATGAGCTACTCATATGCAGAGTGGAGTGGCTGTTGCTATCTAGGCAATCTCACAGGAGCTAATCTGGGCAGCAGAAAGATGAATAACTAAATGGAAATCAGGTTAGGATGAATTTAGGAGGTAGGGATAGACTAAACCAGGACACCAAGAGAGTTTCCCGCTTGTGGTTTCTGTAACGTTTACCTGAAGCACCAGAACAGAAGGGCATTGTTCAGCCTCTCACCAAAAGCCTATTTAACAACCCACAAACCCACAACTAACTACTTCAGTACAGCACTGGAGGGTCAGGCTGCATTTTGACGGCTGGCATCATCGTTGCCACCGCTGGTTTAGACTATGATTCCAAGGTCCCGACGTGGGGCTTGAACCCAACCTTCTGACTCAGAAGCGAGAACGCCAGGTTGGCAGCCCTCTTGCCTGTGGGTCAAAGCCTTCTGGGCTCGAGCCCCACGTTGGATTCGCCCTGGAATACCGCTGACCCGCCTGGCTCAGGAACTGGACTACGGAGACCGCCACGGAGGGCTGGCTCGATTCTGACCCTCCGTTGCCAAACACATCACCTGGGGGAGCCAGTTCAGGTCCAAGGAGACTCCACTGGTACACTCTCCCCCCCCCCCCCCACCCCCACCCCATATCACCCCTGGATACAACAGGGAATTTCAGAGAAATTAAAAGTCCAGACAAAACCCCCACCCCACCAAAAAAAAAAACAGTTAGATAGAAATAAAAGAAATCCCTCCACGGGACATAACCACTGGATCATTTTTGTTTAAAAAAAAATTCATCCTGAACAGGTCTGAGGGAGAAGAGAGAGGAGAGAGAGAGAGAGAGAGAGAAAGCTCTACAACAAAGACAAGTCAACCGGACACCGGCACTGCACCGATCTGTCCCCGGTCCCACGTGGCGATGTTGCCTCCGCTCTTCTCCCTAACAATTCCCAGGGTATCGGATCCCCGCGGGACACAGCGCTTCAACAAACATTTATTTTGATTTCTGTAATAAACTTTTGCGAAACTTTCGCCAATAAAGCAACACATTTTCCCCCCCTCCCTTCCCCTCCATCAAAAAAAAAGGGGCGGTTTTCCCCCTTTCCTTCCCGATTCGGGAGACAAAAGATGTGGAAGGAAAGCACATGGTTGGCCCCGCGCTGAGGGTCGGAATTTGATTTTAACACCACAAATCATACATTTATTTCGCCCCAATATTTGCGCGAGGCGAGTTTTTCCTCTTTTTTTTCCACGCGCACTCCAAAAAAAAATAAAGCGTTTGAAAATAGAAAAAAAAAGCGCTTTTTTTTGTGCTTTAAATCCTTTCAATTCGGTTTCAATCAAATCGAAATGGATGGAACCTTTGGGATCAGAGGGAGAGGGGGTGGGGTGGGGGGGGGGGGTGATGGGGGTGTGGGTGGGGGGTGGTGATGGGGGTGTGGGGGGGGGGGGTTTGGGGGAAATCTCTCCATTTGGAAAGCAAATGGCTTTAAATTAAAAAGTGCAAAATGTCCATTTGAGAAGATTCCGATCTGGGGAATGGAGGGGTGGGGGGGAGGGGTGGGGTTGGGGGGAGAGGGGGTGATCCCGTATTTTCCTCCCTCTCGGGTATTGGGGCCTTACCCCCGTGTTAATCTGACCATTTAGTTCCAGATAATCCTAACCCGGGTCAAGCCCCCCCTCAACTGCTCAGGTCAGGAGATGGAGAAGGTGTAACCGGCGATGCAGCGACTGCAAATCGATCAGCTGTTAAATGGATACATTTAAATGGCCACATCGCACGGATACATTTAAATGGATACATTTGAATCGATACATTACGTTCCTTCCGGGTACAGAGAAAGAGAGCACGTGCTTAACTCCCACGTTTTACTCTCAACTCTGGTCTCACTCACTCACCCACTCACTCACTCACTCACCCGCTGATTCCAATGATGAACTTCATTCCAGAGTTTCCGATGTTTCCTTCGCTCATGTCTGTATGTGTCGGTGGGGCCGCCGGGGGGGCACCGGGGGGGTCGGTTTAGGTGGGAGAGAGCAGCAAAGTCAGACGCGGAGGTGGTTCTTGCTGTTGCTTTGACTCTCCACGTCCACGTCCAGTCCTGGTCTGGTCTGGTCTGCGAGTTATTGTCACCTACTTTTTTCAGCCATGTTCTCTAATTGAAGAGAGAGAGGAGACATAGATCGCCGACCCCGCTCTCCGGGCAGCCCCTGAGCACAAGACGAAATGCAACGTGCCAAACGCTGCAGCAAACCCTCAGAAACCAACCCGCCCTCCCCCTGTCATATTAATACCCTCGGCAGTTGACAGCCACTGGCTGATTCCTGCCTACTTCCACCCCACCCCTCTCCACTCTCCAGTCCTGTGACCCAGCGCCTCCCCCTCCCAGTTGCCTTATTTGGGGGAATCGTCTCTAATCAGTGGTCTCCACTTATAGTCTGTTTGGTTCCAGATAAAGTGTACTCAGCTCCAAAAAAAAAATCCCGCCCTGGAAACCTTGACGCGTGGTTTTTGCATTGGCTTCTTCGGGGGGAGCGCGTGAGCACGAGAAGGTGTCATTTAATACGGTGAAAGACTCATAGACGGCAAACTTCTAGAATAACTAGAGCGGAATATGGGACACTAGTGACCAAGGCTGTATTAATACCCCAGGGTTTGTTCTCAGCAACAGATTTCAGCCAGAAATTTTGACCCATTGGTGCCAGTAAATGCCCCCACAAATGTGGGCGATTGCACCCAATCCTAATGTCTTATTGGGACTTGGAAGCATATAATCTAAGATGACACTCCGATCCAGTGCTGGGAGTGGGTGGTTGCATTGTAGGAGATGCTGTCCTTCAGATGAGACAATAAACTGAGGTCTCGTCTACCTGTTTGGGTGCGCGTTAAAGATCCAGTGGCACTATTCGAAAAGATCGTTTCTCATGGCCAACAATCCCCCAAATAAAAATTAGTCACTCACTGTATGACTGTTTGTGGGACATTGCTGTGAGCAAACTGACCGTAGGGTTTTGTTTACAAAATCAATCCACAGTCAAAACACAGTCAATCCACTTTACAGTATATCCTGTGAAGTGCTTTTGAGATGTCTCGACAATGTGGTAAGGCGCTATATCAAATGCACGGTTTATTATTATTATTCTGTGCAAGTTTATGAACACTGGCTCCAGAGGACAGAAGTGTGACCTTGTGTATTGTTCCCACAGTCAGCAAGCAGCAGTTTTAATGCATGACTAGCAAAACTTACTTCATTGAGAACTTGTATTGTTTTACACTGTTGATGTTTATGTGTCTGAAGTGGGAGCCAGCAAAAGTCCATTAACACAACTGTAGGAAATAGGAATGACAGGACCGGAGCAATTGGATCAAAAGAAATTGGATCCACTTGTTTGAGCACAATCTGTCCGGACTGATTTGCAATTGATATAGCGCCTTATCACGTGGTTGAGACATCTCACAGAATATATTGTAAAGTGAGTTGACTGGGTATTTTGTGCGTGAAATTTGGCAGCCAATTGTGCACAGCAGCGTCCCACAAACAGTCGTGGATTGAGTGACCAAGTTATTATTTTTTTTGGAATGGATTATTACCCCCTGGAAAAGTGATCCACCAATCGACTAACAACTAAGTTTCTACTTATTATTATTATTATTATGTGGGGTAAGGAAACTTACCGGGAATGCCCGGGAATCGAACCTGGATCCTCTCACTTGCGAGGCGAGAGCTCTAACCACTACGCTACAAAATGTTGGTGGAGTAAAGCTATCAGAGAGACAGTAAGGCACGCAATGACAGAATGCTTGCCAGCCAAGAGATAATAAAATAATCATTGAGTTTGATATTTTGGCTTATCGCATTGAAACTTCTCGAAGCACTTCACAGAGATTTTGTATTACGGGTAGTGACTGTGTATTCGTAGGTGAACACAACAACCAATTTTCACGCAGCAATGACTCTCGAACAGCCGTGAAGTGAATGACCAAGACATCAGGAGAAACTGTCATCTTTTAACTAATTTGTGTATGAACAGACAGACGGGAGATGGCACCTCGAACAATACAGAAATACAGTGCCAAGCCAGGGTATGAGTTCAAAGACCCAATTTGGGGCTTGAACCCACTGTTCTGACTTAAAGGTATTACCACTGAAGTTATCAACAAAAGTACCTAAATAAAAAATATATTACAATAAAATAAAAGTGCCTACGGTCTCCTCCCTCCGTGCTCCGCCACTGTCAAGCGCTCTGGGACTCTATATACACTCTATATAGACGCAGGTTGTTTAATGTCAATGAAAGTACTTCCAAACTTCAACTATTATTACATGGCTTATAGAGTTACATTTATAGGGTTATTACCAAACAACGTTGACTCTACTGCTGGGTTTCATAGACCTTTTCATGAACCAGTCCAAAAATTTCAAGATAAAAACTTTTCAGTTCTTGAGAGAGTAGGGAATTAATTCATCTCCTCCCCACCTCCCCAGCAGCAGTTATTTCTTCATTGCTGAGGAGCACTTTATTCGTAGTAATGCCTGTGGTTGAGACTAATTTAGGAACCCTTAAATAGCCCCTAACACCTTCCTCTGATGAGAAGATGATCACTTTTAAATGTTCGTTCACAAATAGCACAGAGAGCGAACATTATGGCACAGACAGTGTAAGGAAGCGACTTTATCTACTATCTAATTGAACACGCTCAAACCTTAATGTCTTTATTTGTTTATTTCTATTTTTAACACTAAAACTTTAACTGCCAGATAGTTAAATAACTGTGCTATGTTCACACGATGCTGTTTCTCACTGTTATTCAAGTGAAGTGTTATTTGCAGCTCTGATACTCTGCAGAGCAGTACTGGGTGAGGTCAGGTTCATAACTCCCATCTTATCAGCAAAACATGTTTTTACATTCACTCTATCGACATAGTACAAACACGAACAGAAGTTCAGAGATAGATGTTCGGATGAACATTCAAACCTCCCCATCCCCCCATTAATTAATAATAATAATCCTTGCATTTGGTATAGCGCCTCTAGAACGTCCTAAAGCGCTTCACAGGATTTACTGTGAAGTGAAGTGACTGTGTATTTGTGGGCGAATGCAGCAGCCAATTTGCACACAGCAATATTCCACAAACAGTTAAGGAGTGAGTGACCAATTTTATTTGGGGAATTGTTGGCCAGGACCCTGTGTGTGAGAAATTCCCTTCTCCTTTCGAATACCGCCCTGGGATCTTTAACAGGCAGATAGGACTTCGGTTTAACTTCTCATCTGAAGGACGGCGCCTCCAACCCCCACACTGCATTGCAACGTGGGACTTGGACTCACAACCTTCTAAGTAACTTTGCTCTTTCCAGGTTTCCGACTCAAGGGGGTAAGCAATGACTCCTAAACTAGAATCAGAACTTTACAGCACAGAAGGAGGCCAATCAGTCTATTGTGCCCTTTAGTTTGCTGATTCACCAACCAATGACAATAGTTTTTCTTATTTACCTTTTTTACCTTACAAATAATTTCTTACAGCTTCGAAAGGGGCTGTTCAGCCCATCCTATTTGTGGCGCTGCTACCTGACTATCTCATTCACCTTTTATTATTAGTCTCACTTTTCTCCTCTTTCCCCACATCCCTTAATGCAGAAGAGTTGGGTCAATTAATAGATTGAACCCACCAATAACATTGGTGTCTAAAGATCACATTCGCAGTTTGATACATGTTTCGCTGTTGTGTGTTTCACCCACAAAATATACAGTCACTCCACTTTGCAGTATATCACGTGAAGCACTTTGGGACATCTCGATGACGTGATAAGGCTTTATATCCAATGCAAGAATTATTATTGTTATAATCCTCGCTCCTTGTCAGCGTAGTGCTGGACTGCCCATTTCTGTAGCACCACTGCCACCTGCTAGTGACTAGTTGAATGACTGAAAGCGCACTCCACTGGAGCAACACTTCATGTGCTAAGATTTGCAACAGGAGATATGGAGGAAAAGCTGGACAGACTGACCTATGCAATGAGTCCATCACATCCCCTGGTATTGTGTCTCTCCTGTGATATTAAGACTAAAGATTCCGGATTAAACGGAATGTATATTAGTACGAAAATGTGCCTCAAAGGAAAAACACAATGCTCCCAGGAATACTAGCTCACATGGATCGCTAAAAGTGATCTTTCAGGTGTGTGTTTATAACAGACCCTTCTGGCCTAACTCCCCAAGACTGCCTGGGACAACAGAATAATAGGCATAGGGTCAGGGCTGTGAAGGGCAATCTTCGGAGAAACATCAAGAAGTATTTCTTTACGTGGAGAAGTTCAAGGAATAATGCAAGGATTATTATTGTTATAAATTTACTGTAAGAAATCCCTAAATCTTTATTAGAACATTTAAAAAATATATATTCCGATCAATACAATTATTACCACTCTCCCCTCCCCATCTCAGTCCCCCCACCCCCACAGGACAGATTGCAGAAAAGGGTTGAGCTAGGCAGAATGAGCTAGTGTTAATAAAGCAAATATTTACCTAAGTACAGTGAGTAACTGGGCAAATACGTTTTATGAATGAGTCTCAGGGTTACAGAGAAACGATGTTGTAAACAGAATGCAAATCTATAGGTTTGGGTGGAATTGTACAGCCAGATCCGAATTAGTCTTTGAACAATATTTTGTTGCTAAACCCATGATGGCTTGTTCATGTGCATTCATGGCTTGTGATCAGAAGTTGCTGTACACCATAAGGAGACACGCATACCTCACTTGATGGTATTTTCCATATAGTTTTCAATTACATCAGAGGAATTTCGCTAACTTGAGCTCAAGGACTTGATCAGCCAGACTGGGGAGGGCTGAGTTGGGAAGCTACAAGAGATCCTGATGGATCACAAGATCTGTTATTGCTTTCACGAAAGGAACCCAAAGCTAACATATGCTCTAGAAACCAATGCAGCAAATAATAATAATACTATATAAAAAATAATCCTTGCATTTGATATAGAGCTTTATCAATCTTAATAATACTAATTTGGTCACACAATCCACCACTGTTTATGGGACACTGCTGTGCGCAATTGGCTGCTGTGTTTCACCCACAAAATACACAGTCAATTTACTTTACATTATATTCTGTGAAGCGCTTTGAGACGTCTCGAAGACGTGACAAGGCACTATATGAAATGCAAGGATTATTATTGTTACATTGTGAGACGAATCAAAGCACTTCACAGAATATACTGTAAAGTGAATTGACTGTATATTTT